GCATGATGACAGTTTGGAATTTGCACCTGACACTGTCCGATACCAATCAGGTCGGAACTTTGAAGAGACAACTCTTCGAAATCACAGGCTGATGCGAGAAATATTGGATAGAGCAGGATATGCGATGTATGCGCGTGAGTGTAGAAATACGAAAGCCAAGGCCATGACAGTTGTTTTGACCACAGAACAATGAGGATGCAACAACATTCAAAACAAACTCAAAAAGGCTGTGGTCCTGGTCCTGTCCAACTCGTTGCGCGCGATCCAAGGAGTCAGAAGCAACAATTCGATCGCTGCGAGCTCTTTCTCTTCCTCTTCCTTCAATGCCATCAGGTCTTCAAATTTCCCTGCCGGATCCAGCACATCCATTTCTTCTTCTTGACAAAACCATAGCAGTCTCATACTGCCCATCTCTGAGCTTCGAAAGCCTGGAAAACGAACTGGTTCATGCCAATGATCTTCTATAGACCACGTGCCAGCCCGACGAGATCCCAAATAGACCCGGAGCCAAGCAAAATGCATCCATCGAAAGTCGTATCCACCTGCTTCTTCTGCACACTTCTGACAATTCTCGTCATTGCATTCTCGTATAGTACATGGATGTACATGGTAAGTCCAGGTCTGGCTCACCAGGACGTCGTCGATGAACAATAGCAAATAACTAGTCTAATAGAGTGAGGCCTGTGACTGGATAAGCTCGTATCCATGCCCATACACTTGACAGGACTGCTTCACTGTCTATCCTTTCATTGTCTGACCATATCGGCAAATCAGCCATGATCGACGATGGCAAATTGTGGCACCTTGCAGATGACGATAGTTAGCTCCGAAGATCGCAAGAGACAGGGAACGCATTAAAAAAAAGTGCTCGAAGGGCAACATCCACTGATAGAGCCACAGATGAATATGTATAATATCTCTCTTTGAATACGTCAAATGAATAGACAATGCAAAAACAATTACGTTTCAAATTCAATCGCCTTGATTCAGCCTCCTCCCCAGGAGGAACTAACACTTTCAAATGCTGCTTAGATCTGCGAAGCCCTCATTTTTTCAAAAACTGTATGTAACATCCAAAGGGCATACAACGGGCAAAGTGTTGCCGACAAAGTTGTCACTGTATGTCACTGTTCCATACTGTTCCTCTCTACGTCTCTCTACATCTCAATGTTTCTGCCGACTGTCACGCCGATGTCTCACTGCATCTATATATATATATATCACATATCTATGCTCTTCCGTCCATCTGCCCATCTATCGACCCATTTAATCTATACGCATTGTTAAACGCTTCCTTTCCCATTGCTTGCAAGACGGACGATCTTGTCCTTTTTCGAAACGGGGCAGTCCTGTCGCGGTCTCCTTCGAGCAAACAACATCAACATCAGGCAAGGCAAAAGAATTTCCAGGGACACCCCCCGGGAATTGTAACATAACAAAGCTTGCCGGTATACCCCCCTATTGGTGCGGGGGGGCGGGCATCTGTTCATTGACATCAACATAAAGTGGATCCCACCCTACCCTACCCTTCGAACTGAAAAGCAATGGCCGTTCCACATCAACATGTGTCACTTTACACTCAGAGTTTAACAAAGAGCAATGAACATTCGTTCAAGCTGTTCTTGTTAAACGCTTCCTTTCCCATTGCTTGCAAGACGGACGATCTTGTCCTTTTTCGAAACGGGGCAGTCCTGTCGCGGTCTCCTTCGAGCAGACAACATCAACATCAGGCAAGGCAAAAGAATTTCCAGGGACACCCCCCGGGAATTGTAACATAACAAAGCTTGCCGGTATACCCCTCTTCAACATGCAAGCAGTGTAAAGGACATCCAACATCATTCTTGGGGGTATACATATTACTCGTGCTGCGCTAAAATCTATCGGCCTTTGGCCAAGACACAATCAAAGCTTGAAAACCCTCGCTCACTAAGTGATCGTATTTACCTCTGGACGGAGCATCAGATGGGTTACTTGCTGAAGGTACCCTTGCCGTCCACACGAAGAGGCTGTACGCCATAGAAACTTCACTCAGCGCTTTGAGCATATTGTTGTTGACAAGTAAAGGACTATACAACGAAATCATAGAGGATCTGGCAGCTTCATTATCAACATATGCGAATATTCTCCAACCTTGAAAACGCGTTGACAACATGCATATGGCAGTTAGCGCCGCGAACAGCTCTAGCGTAGCAATGACCTTCTTCGTGTTCTTCTGCCATGCATTTAGTAGATCAGCGGGGACCTTTTCACTGAAGAAAAACTTCTCGGTGATGAGATCATCAATGCAAGCAAAAGCCACCATACCTATACCAGCGCTATTATCATGGTCCTCTAACGACGCATCTGTAAAAACAATCAACTTTCTGTTTCCTGTCCCGGAATGTAGAACCCTTGGCCTATCCTCTAACATGAAGCTTCGGGCCCACAGGAGCTCAAGTCGTAATGTTTCAGGAATACTTGTTCCCAACAGTTTCCCACTGGCTCGTTGCTGGAAACATCTCAGGTGTGCAGATAATGCCCTTCCGTACGTGTGTGTCTCAGCAAACTGCAGCTTTCCTCGCAAAGAAGTTGCCCTGTGGCTAGACAATTCACCTGACCTAAGGACATCGTCGATTTCCGAAACCACTTGTTCTATTCTGGCCTTCTTATTCTTGACAACGAACCTCCCCCGTGAGCAATCTTTAAAATCAAAGGAAACACCAAGAACATCAAAAGTACATGCAATAGGCTGTCTTTTGCTATCCTTTGTTGAAAACCTCCAGCCAACCAAATCAAATAATCTCTCCGCCGCATGTTGTGCGTCCGACCCTGAAGCCGCAATATCCAACTGTGGATAATCGTCAAAATAATTCAACCATATTAAACCAAAAAGCCTTTCGCCAATAAGTTGCAGTGCACGAGCCAATCGGTTAAACGCAAACACAGACGCTGACGCGCCAAACGGTAATACGTCCGAAACAAACAGTTGTTTGTCCCCGTTGTTGTCTTCGACCGCAATCACAGAGCACCACAAGCTTTCTTTGGCAACCAACATTTGCTTATAAGCAGCATCTAGATCCAACGTTCTTCCCACGATACGCCGTGAACTCTCAACCGTCAAGGACTCATGTAACTTACCCCTAAGGATACTACCATCACTCAACCCCAGGCTCACAAATCCAGAGTCACTCACACTATCTAGCAAGGTACGCGCCAAAACCGAGACACCATCAATGCCAGGAAGGTCCAATCGGTAGGTCGAAGAATAAGAAAGCATTTATCAAGCTTTCAGACATATCATCAATAGCTCGGATTTTGTCAGATTGCGACAAGCCAAAACGCCTTGAAATGACAAATAGTGGACCCAACTCTTGCTTCAACTGCTCTTCTGTATAAGGTCCTCTGAGCCAGCCTTTGTCCCTTTCGGACAAAGCATTTTCCCAAACGATGTGTCGCACCTCAATATCTGAGGTTTTCAAACCTTTTCCTAAAATCTTTCTTCTGGTCCACTTCGACGACTGCATCAGCTGGCATTCAGACATAGCCGCCGACGTTACTTCAGTTGAAAACAATCCTGTGTAGCCAGCTTCCCCAGTGAGCCTTGTACCATTTAGCATGAGGGCTAACAACCCTTGGTCCTCTACCCCAGCGTCTTTACATAACCGGTCAAAAATCAGCAACTTCTTGCCGTTCAAAATAGACGCGCGGTTTGCATCCAAACCAGCATGTAAAGCCTGCTCCTCAGCCTCAAGCCTTGCACCTAAACTCTCATAGAAATTGAAGGCCTCGTTCCTCATTGCTTTAATTCCAGAGGGCCCTTCCGTGAAAAGTGCAAAAATTGCGCGCTTCGCGTCATCAGAAATTGAACTAGAACAGTCGAAGGGATGATTTAACCCCAATGCCTCATTGACAAACTCGTTTGGCGTTCGAAAGACTCCAATTTGATGAACTTCTGCCCCGTCTTCCCCCAGCTTTACAGGCAGAAGCTTAGCAGGAAAACGACAAGACAGCATTTGGCATTGGTTTGGATTCAGCAAACCAGGGGTTAAAGATTGAACAACTGCAGGGTCAACAGTAGCAACATACTTGAATTCCGACAAGATTTGCGGCAACAAATTGCCGCGTGGTTGTCGACCCGCTTCTGCTGCACGAACTTTAGATAAGATGGTGCGTTTTGCTCTTTTGTTATGCGACTGCATGACAACACCCAAATCGTTTGCAACACCTGCAATAAGATTTGAAACATTTTTACACAACACGTCAGGGTATTCAGATTCAGCAGCTGCGTGAAATACGCCAGCGTCCTCCAGTTCCTCGAGCTTCCAGGGCTTGTGATGGTGGCGCCGGTCGCATTCCCTTGCCAGGACAGAAAACGCGGCATGGTTGCAGAAAAATCGGGTCCATTTGTCCCTGTCCCCACCCTGCATGCACTGTTGATAATCAACAGGAAAAAGTTTGGCATCGGAGATGAGCTGTTTCAGCCAAATTGTATCCCACATGTATGAATGCCTAGGGTTTTCAATACTAATCAGCGCAACATCTTTGAAAGCATTCAAAATCTTGCAAACATTTTGAAAAATCTTGTTGGCGGTAGAAACTCTAGCCAAGTCTGCACCAGAAAGTGACGGCAATCCTTCAGGAAACTTGCTGCTTCGCAGGGGTTTCTGTTCCGGTGCACCTCGTCTCTTCCGCTTGCTGGAATCCCGCCTCTCGCGTGTTCTGACTGTTCCAAAAGGCGGGGCGGCATGAATATAGAAAAGCATCTGACCCTGTCCTTCAGAAAGTTTAAGCACAAGCTCTACACTTTCATCATCCGCAAGATCAACACATACTGTAGGATGCCGCTGGTTATGCCTGTTCCTGGAGTGGTCAATGGCAAGCGTAGTGAAACCGAATGATTTTAGGGCGCCGGATAGCTTTCCACTTCCAGCACACAGTTCTATACATACCAAATTCTGAACAGGTGCTCCGAAAAATTTCTTCTTGAAAGAATCAACGGTCTCAGAGCTGGTAGCTGTTTCTCATTTGTGTTCCTTCTGACTGTGAGGTTTTCCACAGCCTGGAACCATGCAACGGTGCCAGCCTTTAGGGCACCGACCCCCTGGGTCTGCCCGGGGGCAGCCCTTCAGGTTGAAGTCAAAGCAATGTGGCTCTCCTTCTTCATTCGTAGGCGACATTCCTATGAGGCCTGGCGGCATGCGAATCATTCGAGCTTTGCTCTTTCCAGCGGACTTTCCACCTAAAGACCCAGAGCTGCCGGTCTTGCCTTTCCCTTTGTTCATGTTTCGAAGTTGGCCTTGAAGATTTTCAACTTGCCGCCTGAGCTTCTCAGTCTCCGTGTTGGCCTTCTTGCCGGAACTTGAAGGGGCCGTAAGCGCAGGAGATTTGTCAACTTCGGAATGGTCCAGTTTGCGCTTGACACCTCCTTGCAAGGGCTGAAGCAAAAGACGCACTTCTGGTGCTTTGATTGCCTCCTTCAAGGCCTCTGCCATGGGTTGTCTGGTACCGACTGCTTTGATTCCATTTCTTGTTTCCCGAATCAAAACTTTGAACAGTTGCAAATCTGCACGGTGCAACTGCTCCATCGTCACTTTTTGGTAACCTTCCATGGCCGGGGCCGTGTAGGCCTCTAGCAAAATTTGAGACCATCTTTCAAAGTCTTGGTAGTCGACCAATCGCGCCTGGTCAAAGGCTAATGATCTTCGTTGTAGCGCAAAACGGAGCTTCAAGTCCGTGTCATACTCGGCTGTGAGCGCCTCTTTCACCTTTGTCTCGCGAATAATTCCCGAGGCGTCTGCTTTCCACACCGGGTCAGACTTCAGTCCCATGAGCTCCTGGTCACGCTTGGTGCATTCATCCCATTTCACATACCGTAGTTGACCTTCTTCAGACATGTGGTAGATTGCATCGATCAAGCTATGACTGGGTTCTTGCTCTCCAGACATCTCAATTCCTGGGAGTCTGGCAACTTGGTCTGCGTATCTCGACGCTCGTTCAGCTGTGGCCAGTTTTCGGGGAGCATCATCGCTAGTCCTGGAAATTTTCATACGCAAGTCAGCTGCTGCTAACGTGTAACTTTCGAAGACAAGCCTTCGAACCAAGGCGAGCCGAACTGGCGGGCAGGGGGCGATTCCTGTCACTTCTGCGGCAAGCATTTTCAAGGGACCTTCGTCCGCCTGCCCAGGCACATAGCTACTGGAGAATGCTAGTTTAGCAAAAGTAGCATACCCTATTCTCTTCAGATTATCAACTTCAGTCTGGCTAAGGCCAACATCTTTGGCCCTAGCCTGAAAATCTGCTTCACTGTCAAGCATCTGTAAGACGCGGCGACTTGAGCCCGTGCAACTGCATGGCACCCATGTTTCATTAGCCACATTGGCTTCTGTTGTTTTGAGTGACCACATGAAGGGAAAAACAACAAAGAAAACCTTACACTTTGCAGATGCTAAAAACCGGTTGTGCCACTTCAACATAACATTACTCCCCGCGACACCCGCTAAGGAGCCTTGAACTCGGCATGCAGCAGCCGTTCTCTTTGCATTTTCCAGGGGGTTTGCCTCACAGCTAGGTCAGCCACACACCATGTCCCATAAATAGAGAGTGTATTGTGACTGTGCGACCTAGCACTACACAACAACACGAAACGGCCCATCAACATCTTCAACTTCTTGCAAAGAGTTGCAACTAACATGAGAGGCAGGCAAACATCTTTCCCGCGCTCCGTGTGTCGAACATCAACATTTATGGATTAAAATTTCCCCAGCAATGCACACAATGTGGCCAGCATTTGTCTGGGTTCCCTAGAAACTTCTCATATGCTTCAGTGATTCCGCGACCGCAAGCAGTTTTGAGCTCATCGTCTTTGTTTCCTAGGTGCAGCCTTCTAGTGCGCGCATGTCTGATCATGACGTGCGGCAAGGCTCTGTCTGACATGTTTTTCACCAACGTGCCTTGTCTCATGCTGACCGATGCCTCTGCCATGGCACTCTCAGCCGAAGAAGAATCAGAATCTGAATAGTCAGAGTCTTCGTCGCTGCTGTCTTGGACTTCCCTAAGTTCGGTCCCAATTGCGCCAAACAGCATGGGTTCGTTGCTTGTTCCTACAATCACAGGCTCTTTGCAAATAAGTTCCCACATAGATCTCATTTCAAAATTTCCAAACATGTCCATGTCAGAGGAGGGATCGAACCCCATGAAAATTTCAGCCATTTCATTCACTGTCTTGTTTAGAACTTTCTGAAGCTTTTCAACCACAGGCGGCGTGTATGTAGCCGAAGGAAAGGCTTGCCCACGGCTTGCCGTGGGGTCAAAACGCCCCACCTGAATCTCCTTGAGAACCGTGGCTAAAATCCGAATAGGCTGGGCCAAAGCATCCCGTTGATAGTTCAAGGCACTCAAGTGTGACGTGACATGGTACCCCAGAAGCTCCGCTACGGTGTAATCACATCCGTAGATATTGACATAGGTCAAGAGAGTTGTTTTCATTGAATGGCTAGTAAACATTCCTACCATTTCCTCAGAGAAAAAAAATCCCAAAATTCTTCGCAAGCCCTCGCTGACTTCAGTGGACCCTATCTTCTTCCCAAGCTCCAAGTGGCAAGTAGCACGACTTGGCAAAACCACAAAGCTCTTGTCAGACGCATCCGATTCCAGAGTTGGAAACTCTGGTAATTCCAAAAATCTCCGACTTGCACAAAACGCTTGGAACCAATTCAAGCCAATGAACCCCACGCAGGGAAAAATAACTGGCAGAAAAGTGCACTGCTTTTCTTTTGATCTTGCTGTCTTGGTTCGCATCAGCGATCCTTCCGCGTATTCTCCATTGCTGGACAGGTTCACCAATCGTGCTAAGTCCGAGACGCGCAATCTGCCAAAGATGCAACATAGGCAAAACCCAGCCAGTGCCCGCAAGAAAGTGTCCGGCTCACAAAAGCAAGCCACCTCAATCGTTGCAATCATTTCAGGCGTCAGTGGCGGCGCCTGTTTCATTGTCCTTTTGGATAAGAACATTTCCAAAGCGGCTCCCTTGATGCGGGATGAGTTCACACACTCTGTCACGCCTTCAACACCAAGCACAGCTTCCACAAAGTTGAGGGTACTCACAAATGTAGAGGCCCTCGACGCTGAACATGCTTTGGATCGGAGAAAACAAACATAATCATAAACGCGCCCCTCCACCAAGGGCAGGAAAGGCTCATCACCATGTGTGTCTCGATACCATTTGACGTACAAGACAAAGGAATTTGCTCGGAGTTTCAATGTGCTTGTAGATTTGGCCCGCAACGAGTCGGCCACTATTTGAAAGCTTTTGGACGCTTCATCTGATTTGTCACTTCCTTGGCATCTGTCAAAATCTTCCAAAATCTGCCTTCCCACTCGCGTTCCGGTGGGACACATAAGGATCAAATCCACCCAACGCAGAAGCACATTTGCCCTGTCTTCATCTGACAAGTTTTCTGCCACTGAATAACATCGACGCTGTATGCTAGCCTTTTTGTGCTCAACACTTATCTCCAACTCACTCTTCAATGCTGGGACAGGAGGCAAATTGCGAGGAATGGACGGCAATGCTGGTCCGATTTCACTTTCATCTGAAAATACAAAACGCAAGGCTGGAGTCAATTCCCATGGCATATTTCCATTGAATACGAAAGAGCCCATTGAGGTGGCCCTATCTAACGCCGCAGCCACACCGGCTGATGATGAAGAGGGTTCATCCCCTGGAGAAACATCACCAAAGCCCCTCTTCATCTGTTCATTGACATCAACATAAAGTGGATCCCACCCTACCCTACCCTTCGAACTGAAAAGCAATGGCCGTTCCACATCAACATGTGTCACTTTACACTCAGAGTTTAACAAAGAGCAATGAACATTCGTTCAAGCTGTTCATATCCACTATATTTCAAAAAAACATGATCCAATCCATCTGCATAACCCAATTTGAACAATAACCTTGCATCGTCTATTCAATCTAGTCCTATCATTTCTCGTGTCTAGTCGTATCCTCATATTCAAGGTCGATCTCATCCAGTATCCAATCTGTAATGATTTGTGCAGTTTCCAATGTCTTCCCAGCAACTTTCATGGGTTGGTGCCTCCAGTTGCTGAAGGCTTTGGGCCACTTCAGCCACTCTGGCATCAATTTGCTCCTCTGCTCGACGTGCAGACCTGGAGTTTTCAGGTGCATCAAGACTTGCTTTTCTGTGGCAGATGCACAACGATTATCGATCAGTCAACATCAGGACAGCACAGCGAAGCTTTGTAGGGATCACTTTAGGAGTCTTTAGGCCGTGCATTGCAGATTTAGTTTCCAAAACATCACCATGCATGCCTCTAGTACAAACTGGGTGCCTTCGCACCATCTTCCATATCATGCCAAGAAGCTGTAAGAATGTTCGTTTGTCAATCACAACCGGAATTCATTCCAAAGTGTCATCTGGTCTCAACATTTCCATGCGACAAAATTGTGCGTATATACATAATATATATATATTATTATATATTAATATATTAATTACATTCTTTGGTGGTTCCGTGATCCTCCTCGACTGCCTTCTCTCCCGACCGATCCAGCTGAACCCCTTTTAATTTCTTGGAAGTGCCAAAGCAAGTGCTGGAATTGAATGACTGCACTCGCCAGTCCCAGAAAAAGACATGATCTGGCGCAAGGGTCAAGGGACAGCCACTGATTCTGCTGTGTTGCAGAGCAGCCTGGACCACCCCAGGATGTTCCCAAGAGAAGTCATGTCCCATCACCAATGCAGGAGACAATTGCCCGAAATCTTCCAGGTCAGCTGTCACACCATGGAATGAGTGGTCAGCATCCAGGAAAATAGCATCCACACGAATTTGCGCTGAAAGAAATTCTTGAGCCGCCTCTTTGCTGTCCATTTTCAGAAGATCAGCACGGCCAGAAAATGCCGGCAATGCATCAAGCAGCTCTTTCCGTGGCTGATTCTCTACCAAATAGGCGTGCAGCCACGGCAGACGCTCCAACAAGAACAAGGCCGTGCTTCCAGCAGCCACTCCAAGCTCTACATAAGCGAGTGTCGGGGATCCCAAATCCTTCCACAACTCAGTCAGCAACCATGACAGAATCCGATACCGCTCGCAACAGGCGTTTCGGAACAATGGGGGTTCTGCAAGTCGGAGTTCCCTTTGAATTCCGGACCCAGTCTTCAAAAGGTAAGGGCACATAGTTAAAAACACCAAGCTCTGCGACACGCGAGTCAATTCACGAGATAACTCCCAGACTGCCTGAGCAACCCCAACATTAGGTGCTGCAAGGATATCCCGCACGCGCTGAGTGTGTATTTCCAGCATTGTCTGTATGTTGAGGTCACCAAAGCATGCAGCACCTTCCCGGAGGTGCTGTGGTGAAAGGGGCAAAGATGTTGACTCAACATACAAAGGGGGAGTCTTTAACTCAATCCACAACAACTCCCAACCAGGTTCGACCTGCAACTGTCCCGCCAGCACTTTATGATGCTTTGCTCCTTCGCTTTGCCACTGAAGCCATCCTATGTGCCCCTCAGTGAGCAGTTGAAATGCCAAACTGCGGGTGGCCGACAAATGTGACCAAATTACTGGAAAGGCCATAGCTAGTTGCAGCAGCAAACCAATGTCCTTTGCATTGTAAGCGCTCTGTAGTGGTCCAAAACCTTCAGCCAGGTCCTCCAACAGCTTCGCCTCAACATCGACACCGCCCCGCCAAATGTCTTGCCCACCACCGGCGCGGGCCAAAACGGTTTGGCCGTGCTCCACGGAAAGGCAACACATTAGGAACGCCACACCCACCAAGGCAGATGACCAACATCGTGATTGAACCTCAACAGAAGCTGCTTCTCTGCGAAAGCAGCAAGCCTCTGGTGTGGCACTTTTCCATGACCAGCACCATTCTTGATGCCCACCGTTCCAGGATTCAAGCTTGCTGGCAAGAACCAATGGAGCCACTTTCAAGGACACAACACAGAAGGCACAGGACCAGCCTTTGAGCATGAGGCAATCACTGGAACATGGATGACATTGGATGACTCAATCTTGGCTTTTGATCCGTCAGGGCATTCACACATGTTTTTCAGGGCTCCTATCATTATTAATTAAGGGCACAGGAGGACGCATGCGACATGACTGCTGCCGGATTAATCTTGGTGTTGTTCTGCCAGACTAAGCTTTAAGTGCTGGACTGACGAATGTTGTCCTTGAGTTCCTTCACAGCTGCCTGGCCGTGTCTGAAGTTGAACCGGAGAACTGGGCTGCAATGTCTGCAATCTTTTCCTTACAGCTTCCAGATGCTTCCAACCTCCATGGTGCAAGCCGCAGGATCGGTGGATTTTATGGATCCCAAAAAGGTGAGGAGCTTTTTGGTGACCGTCGTGGAGGTCGGTGGAAGATTGAAGTTGATCAATGACGGCTTGAGATTTCCAGCATTTCAGGCACACTATAAACGCAAGCACTGTTGTTCTTGCATTTTCTTGCTCCCTTTCTGCACTTCGAACCCAAACCTCGTGACAGGTTAACTGTCAATGCCACAAAGATTTATCGAACAGATTCAATCATCAATCTCATTCTTCACGACGGGGAGTGCACATGTGGCCATGGATACTAACGTGCAGCCCTTGGTGCAAGTCTTTTTCCACCAGTGCAAGGTCAACGAGGCACTCAAATGCGGTGCTCATATGTTCCCGCCTTGGACCCAGGAAGGCATGGTATGCACTGGATTTTCGGTGAGTAAAGATCAATTATGAATCTGAAACAATCCTTGGTCATCAGAACAGCCCCATCGTTGTCCTTAGATAAGGTCACAATGATCGGCCCATGTCTTACGAAGTCATGGCTTGCTTGCAGGAAGGATAGTGTGACAAGCTAAATTGCTTTTTGAGTGATCAAACATGGTCAAATAAATTAGGCATACAGAGTCCCATACAAGAGGGACACCCATTGCACCTGAGCAGTGATTAAGATCCTCGTCAGCTACGTTTGGTGATAGGTCTGTCCACGCTATCCACGCTCGGTAGATTGGGAATTTGCTGAGGCCTCCCGCTTTGGTGAGATACCGAATCCATTTCACTGGCTTGTATTGGCCTCATGAGCCCAGCCCATCCATCCACAGAATCCATAGATACCCCAAAATCCAGCCAGGTTGGTCATCGCCCCACTGTGGTCATAACATAGGCTATATATATATATATTTATTTATTTATTTATTTATTTAAATATATTGCCTGTTCAAACAAACCATTTCAAATCCCTAATTATTTCTAGTTGAATCTGCAAGTATTGCTTGTAATTCCCAATCTTTATTGGCTCAACATGGTTAAATCCTGATTTGTACCAAATAAATCCCCTGTTCTTGGACTCGGCAGATGCCAAGAGAGGCTGCTGAGGCTGCTAACTTTTCTCCTGCACCTTGAGAAAGCGCACCCTCAACCTCAATCTGCAAGGCTTCACCGTTGCAAACAAGACATTTGGAGGTGTATCGTTGTTGGTGCAACAGGGGAACGAAGGAATAAACCTCCATCTTTTCGAACATTTCTGCTTCGATTGCATTCCGAATATGATCAAACATCAGGTGGGCATGGAAAACAAGGAACAGGACATTAAAGGCTGATTAATCTTGATACACCGACAGCCCATGCAAGAAATGATAAGAGATGTATTGCGAGAAAGATGTGTCTTTGCCGAGTGTAGCAAAGGATTTTGAAACAAGTGCTTCGATCTCAAGGAGGCAAGGAGGCATCGTTTTTTTGTGATGCCAATCTGCGAGTTGCGCAGTGACTGGGCATACACACCCGCTGGCAGTGAACTGAGGCACCTCAAAGTTCATGGTGATGGGTGGCCGCACCTGCGAGGGAGATCAAATCTGGGAAGGAAATCCTCTGTGAGAAGAGGCTATGAACATGTGCGTTTGGAGCCAAGCAAAAGCAAGTTCGAATCAATATGAATCCTATTATCCTGCTTGAACCTCTTTGTCCACAACAAGCTTGACAGGCTTGAATGTTGCATGTCTGACAATTATTGACACTTTGCACTATTTTTGCTCTTGCGTAAAAACCAGCTGAATTGGTTTCTACCCGTTCTTGGGCTTTGCCCTGATAGTAGTCGAAAGCGAGGAATGCACTGAAAGGAGACAAGGAGTCGAAAGACCTATGCAATTCGTGGATTCTCTGCTTGTCAACGCATTCCGGGAGCTTGATCAAACTTACAACATATGCTGAATTTCTCAGCACCTGCTACAGGGTGAAATATCGGCTCATCTTGTTTTAATTGGTGGTGGGATGTATTGGGCATTTCATTGGGAATATATATATATATATAATATACACATATATACACATTCTTTTACAGTATATATCATAATATCATAATATCATAATATCATATACGTATTCATAGCATGACATAGCCAAATGTGAAACAAGAATTGCCACGGGACAACTCTTCGCGTCACAAAAGCGTGCACCTGGGATGCAAGGGATGCATAGAATTGCCTTGCCTCTAGGACTCTAGGCCGTTTAAAAAGCGTTTAAAACAAGTCGGATGCGATAATTAGGTTGCTGGCGTTCTTGAGCCCGATGAGGTTGTCGTTCTGGAAGCTTCTGCGTCAGCATCATCAGCCAACTTCTGTAGCCTCGGAACGCAGGAGATGGAATGCCATGCCTACCACCACACAGGGTGTTAATGAGAGAACTAACATGAGCTGGAAATACCAACTGCAGCCGGTAAGGATCAAGTCTGCGGGGGCTGTGGCTTGTATTTGTTAAAGTTTACTGTTAAAGCAAGGTTTGACGTCGTCGTTCATCTACGCTTCCGCTCCCCCACAGTAAAATCTGTCCACCATTCTTGGTTTCTCTTTCCAAAGTCATGCTGAACAATGCTGAACACATTTCATTTGTAATTACTCAGCACCTTCTGTTTTGATTTTCCCAAGTCGTTGGAATGGAAACAAATGCTCTGTCCAATTCCTGGATCAACTTCTGTGCCCGAATCCTGAGAACTGGACCACAGTGTTATAGCCTTGTGTAGCAGTCCAAAGCTGTGCTAGTGGCCCCCAAATTTATTTTACAACGTTTTACAACTATACTTAAAAGCCTTCGAGCGCCGCAGATGTGTTTCTTAAAATATCCTTGCTAAGTGGTTTGGACTAAATGCATTTTTGATGAATTTTGTTGCTCATGCTACAGGATGAAGGTCGGAACTTCTATTGAATGTAGCAATGTCGCTCGGGATATCTCGGCATTCTATGGGATTCTACAAGTCTAAGAGTTTGCTTCGTGCCCGGACACATGGCAAGACTTGTTACAGTGACCAAGGCTTTGACCTGGCTGAGCTCAATTTTGGCAATCATGCCATCACCAAGGACATCGGCCTTTTGTTCCCACACCGAGCAACACCCGAATCGACACAGCGCTTGACTTGTGGACATGGGCTAATTGTGGTACTCATTGCCCCGGGACTCCTTGAATCTCCTTAATTAGACCGAATTAAACCCATGGCCTGTTCTAAAACAGAGCGGATTCAACTGCAATCGACTGGAAAAAAAATCGTGCCTTGCAGAGTCCAAACCCTTGGTTTTTTGTTATTTCGGGGAAGATCCAGCCAGGACATCATCAAATTACGCTGGAATGCGCAAGGATGATACAATCTGCTGTGGCTGTGGGCCTTTGCCATGATCCAATCCACATCAGTTTGTTCCACTTCTGAGCCTTGGAGAAACTGGCATGGGTCGCTGATGATTTCCAACATGATCAACATGTTCCAATTGTGTGTTCAGATGTGTTCAGTATGTTTCAGTCTTCATAGAATGGTTCCAATTCTGGTTCTCTTCTGACTCCATGATGATTTCCAATCATGGTCCCATGATGGTCAAGTTCTGATTCCATTGTGGTCCCGATTATGACTCCATGATCGTCCCAATTGTGATTCCATGATTTCCGCCGACACCTTGCAACTGATCCCAAAATAATATGATGTTTCGTATTGTGTTTCCATCCAATGATGATTCCAATTGTGATTGCATCATTGTTCCAATGATGGTTCCGTTGACGGTTCAGATGATGGGGGAACGGTTCCCCCATCAGTTTCCGTGATCCCATGATCATTTCACAATGGTGCGGTCGGCAAAGCCGCACCTGCCAGTTCCATCAGCAACGATCGAAGCTCCTCCTGGTTGAGCTTTCCAGTCTTCGACGTGTCGTGCTTTTCAAAGAGAACCTTCAAGGAGCTCTGCGGAAAAGTGCTGAAAGGCGAAAGGTGTTGAAACTGACACACCAGCAATCAGTCATCCAATTTTGAAGCTTAACAGCTGTACACTGGCATCTTGCATTTGGAAAGTGGTTAGTTCAAAGACGGACAGCGTAGGAAGCAACAAGAAAACGGAGGATCCTCCAAAAAACACAAACAGATTTACCATGGAGACTAATGCTTGCTAATGTTGCGATGCGCATTTGCATTTTGTTCAGGAGTGCATGATCAGAGTTGTATCGAGTTGTAGAGGTGGTGCTGGTGGAGTGGGTTGCAAACATGGTTCGCTTTGAAACATGGTTTGCAGAAATGAAAAATGGCAAAGCGGTAGCCCCGGCCCCCGAGGGCTGGATGCCTTCCCAGCACTGCCCTCTGTTCCAAACTCTTTGAGGTATAAAGACCAGCCTTGGTTGCAAAACAAATGCACTCTGTGCCTAAAGAAATTGAGTCAATGAATCAAGTCTTTCAGTCATCCATAGCTTCTCGAAACTTGTCGCATTCATTTTCGTGGATCTCAGTTGACACCTTTCAGCGAGCGGATTCTTGTAACTGCAATTTCGGAAACTGTATTAAAACATTGCCAGTACCAGAAACAGTGGATCCCACCATCAGGCATACACCATTCAATATTGATAGGTTGTTTGATGTTGTTCGAACTGACAAGATAGATGTTCAAATCTTCAACTAACTCTTTCTGCCATAATCATTTCGTTGAGAGAGTTGAAATCTTCAGCTGAGATGCTTTCAATGGCCTGAGACAACTGAGCACGGTTGATGTGCTGGTTTTTCTTGCAGCCAATGGTTCTCATGATGAAGGTCAGCTCTTCCTTAGCATCCTCTTCCCTCATGGAAACTGATTGGATCCTCCAGAGATTTTGCGAAAAAACGTTCACCAACTTGCAAGAGCGTTCTACTAAACAAGCAACGCTCATTGCCCTGTATCGTTTCAGCTACTGTAATTTCATCCATTCGTTTCCCTCATTTATCCTCATTTCAACCAACATGCAGCAGTTCTCATTGGCACTGCAATCTTCTCAACATCGTTTCAAGTTTGAAGATGCCATTTCCACAATTGCACTCCGACCATCTCCAACATAGGAAGGGGCCAAATTGGCAGCCAACGAACGTTGCTTCGTGCGATTCCAGTTTCAACAAGTTCCATCAAGTTGCTTCAGAGGGCTCTTGACCATCAGCCAAGCTTTGAAGCAGGATCTTGACCTGCCACAATTCCCGAAAAACTTGCTTAGTGTACATTAATGTACATTAATGTACATTAATGTACATTAATGTACTACATTAATGTACCTACTAAAATTATATAAAATTGTTAAATCCTATTAATGTACCTAAATGATCTAAATGTCCGAAATGGCAGGACTCCCTACTGGTCCGGCCTCGGAAGCCTCAAGGCACTCATCGCCATTCGTATCTAACCTGAGGGAACAAGGATTCCACAAGGATATCAACATATATCATATATAATTTCATATATATATATATTATATATATTATATATATATATAAATATATATATCAAAGATTCGCAAAGAAGAAATATATGAAGGACATTGAAGGACATATAAAGAAATACCATTTTTTTCCTGAAAACCGTGTACCCCAAATTTGATGGTTGATAATTTTCCCCGTTACTGTAAAATTGACGTTTTGGGGCATCCCCTATTGTTGGACAAACTCGGCCAAAATCAACAACATACAATATGTACTGTATGTTTAAAAAGAAGCTTCAAAGAGCATTAATCGATTGATATTGACTGCTATTCGGTCCTCCCCGTCGTCTATACATATGATATCTTAAATTCGTGGCGAACTGTTGCTAAAGTTGCTGAAATTTGAAAGGAGGCGGGATTGTAGCTCTGCAGCGGGATGATGCGAAGAAGGCAGGAAAGCCAGTCTTGTCTGGCAAAAGTATGTTCCACCGTTTCTTATCTAGGAATAAGCGGAAGAAACGATTTCAGTGCATGTTGAGCTACTCCGTAATTCTTTATTTCTGATCCAACAGGTATGATACATTCGGATCCATTTATCATGGACACTCAGACCCCCCCCTACACCCCCCCTTGGCCATTCTCAGCAAGCCTATTGAGAGAGGGCAATTTTAGCCTACTGTGAGCAGTGATTTGCATGATGTTTTTGTGCCACGACAATGTTGAATTTGTAACTTCCGCATCTCAACAAGAAAGTCAGGTCATGACTACGACTCAAATGTTTGGAGGGTTCAAAAAGTAAGCACTCAGTAAGCACTCAGTATGCCACGAGCACGCCAAACCCTTATATTATGCATGTGTTCTAACCTCTGCGTCTGCAAGACCTTACAGATCTTACAGTATAAAAGCTTATGCCTAACCTTCGTAATTGGTTCACTCCTATGTTTCAATTCATTAATCTCTACACACAACCTTCCAAACCACAAGACCTGCCTAACCACAAATCATAAAAGTCAGCTAATCTCACATCTGAAACCATGGTTGGTCAACTTATGTCAAATTCATTAATTTCGTTCCCAAACTCATCATTTTGTAGACTGCAGTCGAAGATGTTAGGGCCTTGAATCTGGGGAACCATGCAATAGGATCTGATTTTAACATGTTTGATCATCATGAGAATCACTCCAGAAAGATATATATATATATATATGTATATATATATATGTATAACTGATAACTTATTGATGAAATCTTCTCGAACATTCTAATCATCACCGGAAGCCCCGACGGATGCCAATGCACAATATTGATGGTTTTCGTTGGACTTGACCCTGAAATTCTTTGAAAACATCAAAAAATCAATAAGGCTTACTGAGGGGATGGGGCTGTTTTGAGTGCTTGCTGGGCTGAGTGCTTGCTGGGCGCCTAGGGAGGGTCTTACTGAAGATATAAAGGTGAAGGCGGGGTGTAGGTCTGAGTGTCCAGGATCGTATTCTGGCGAAAGCGCCAGCAAAACATGACTGTCTGAAGTCGTCTTGCGTCAAAACCCTGATAACAGAATGCATGTTCATACCCCAAATTACCCAAATTCAGATAGGAGAGTCATATGAAACCATATGCATAACACATCCCCACAATCTTGTTGATTGTATCCCCGATATTCCCTTATCATATCCCACTATCATATCCCTTGGTATTGCTGGTTATATACATCCACTGCCATTGTTGCATTGACATACATTGACCACGTCACGGAGCTCGGTGAAGAGGTCATCCAAGCGTTTTTCTCGCTCACCTCCTTAGGCGGCGTGCGCTTCTGTCTGGGCTGCAAGGGACTTTGGTCATTGCACCTGATATCCTGCATTCCTTCTTTCATTCCTAGCTCCCCTGGGTAAGCTCACTTTGTTTGCAAATGGGCAACTGCAGTCTAGGCTGACATCTGGCGTTCCTGACAATGGGGAACAGTAGGGTCCCGTTTTTCACCAACTTTAGGGACAGAGCATCTGCCCGCAACTGGCCACCCCATAACATAAAAGAGGTTTCTGGGTGCGACCATGTGCGATCAAACTTGACCTCCGAGCTGCTTTCTGCATCTTTCTTACGATCTCTGGCATCCCTGCAGAGGAATGTTGGGTAATGAACAAACAGTCGCACTGCAAGGTTGCCCCATTTTGTGGAACCCCAAGCACGAGTTCAAGAGTTGATGCTACTAAGACCCCAAAAGTCGGCCAAAGGACGGCTGCGTGTTGTTGCAATCTTCAATTGCTATTTTCCAAGTGGAATGTTTCTTAGCTCCCCGCTTCACTTTTTTTGCCACGGTCACGCCAGCCATTGCAAGATCAGCCGGGATCCGTCTGCTACTTTGGCAGACGATGGAGGGACTTGTATCTTTGTTGTGGAAAATACAGAAGACAACAGAAGTCATTATCCAGCGTTATACAAAGAAAAGTTCTGATTGCGTCTTGGCACGGAAAAAGGAAGAACATGTCAAACAACACGTACCATTGCTGAAACTTCTCCGTTCGGGAGCTCCCTCACCACAAACCTGATTGAAGATCCTGAAAGAGACGATGTATCATGATTAGAAGCAGCCAAGCAGCCATGTTTTAAAGCATAGCTGGTTGATGACCCCTACGTTCTCAAGTCAAGTTGCTGCGTTTCTGTGATTTGATGGACAAAAGCTGCTTTCTGAGTCTTGTACAGTCTTGCTGGTTGTGACCACTGTGTGACCATGTTCCTTTTTTTGGCACACGCCTTTCATCGATTGTGCACCAAACGCAGCTATCGGCACGGAACCAAGAGACATCAAGAGACACATGGCAATGCATCCAAGCTTTGCACATCCGCACTGCCTTCGTCAATATGGATTTGTGGTTGGATTCCATGATGCATCGAAATGCGTAGCACGCAGAAATGATCCTCAACCGCAGTTCAATTCCGATCAAGTACACCGTGGTCGCTGCAGTGACGTTTGCTTTATCTGATCAGATTGTGATCAGCTTGAGCCCAGCCCCTCATCCCCATTTTGATCCTAGTTGTGTTTGTGATCTTCCCTTTCCTCTACTTCGCACCTCTCCGTTTCTCCCTATCCCAATGCATCATCTGAGTATCTGCGTTTTTCATCGTTTTTCATCGTTTTTCATCGTTTTTCATCGTTTTTCATCGTTTTTCATCGTTTTTCCGTTTCCTGCCAAAATGGCAAGCCTGCAAGATTCATCACGTGCAGGTCTTCTTAAGGGCTAGCCGCGCAGGCTGTTCCGTGCAGCGGCTGGCAACATCATTTTGTTCATCGCACTTCTCTGTCTCTCCAGCCGCGCAACTCCTCTCGTGGCCGCCATGTGGGACATGATGGGACTATGGGACAGGACACCGGACACCTCCCATAGGCACCATAGGTTGCACCCAGGCCTCCAAACGTTTGAAGGCTGGTAAGAGTTCGTCTTCCTCCAAGCCAGCATCAAATGCTTCCAGAATGGCATCCTCGCAGAGCACGGACTAATCCTTGAGAAAACTGAAAAAACCATGTACTATCACAGACTGACAAATGTGACAAGAATATACATATGTAATTCATATGTATTGTGTATCTACAAGTATCGACATATGATACGGCCAAAGCCCTGCAACTCCAAGTCCAGCATTAAACTACTAGCTGAACCGCGTTGGCTGGCTGCACAGTGCCGTCACACGAATGTCTCACACAAATGGGTTTACATAAGCGCATCGCTGCGTGCTTACCACCACCAGAAAAGCACTCCACCGCACCACAATCCAGTGTGCCAATGAAGAACTAAGAAGCCAGCTTGCTCGGAACATGAACATTCCCTCCAATACATTCCAACACTCTCTGTTACCTTTGAGACTTGGACCTTCTGATTTTTGAACATAATGATACATATCAATTCATACAAACATGCAATAACATGACATGATATTCAACTCCATGGCCCCTTTAAATATCTTCTGTCCAAAAATGTGGATGAAAATGGCACCATAGTGGCACCAACGTTGGGTTTCCTCCAGCTGCAGCACCAAGTCAGCCAGGCTTGTCATCGCCTCCTCCAAGCCTTGTCGGGCCTTGCGCTCAGTGCAGCATTTTTGCTGGACATTCGCTGGTTTCTCCGGGAGGATTTTTGGTTGGTCAAAGCGTCAAAGACATTGTGAAAAAGATGATCCCAGGTATTCCGAGGACCTCATCAGTACTTCGGTTTGAGACACTAGTGTTCTCATGTTTTTTCTTCAGAAAAGCGCAATTAGTTATTGATCTTAGCATAATTAATCTAATCAGGTTGGGATGATGATGGGATGATTGATGTTTTTTTGGTGCATGATTCATGTGGACCCCACCTCCAACTTGTTGCTGGGCGGCACTCGAACTTGTGCAGCGTTTTTTGAACCTGGAAGCAACCCAGCACGAGATCTTGCAATGTACACAACAGTCTGGGTTGCAAACTCCACATAAGAGCGGTTTGTTCCGTAATGTCGGTTTTACGCAAACTCACACAAACACACACACAGAGGTACATATACACATATTGTATACTGTATTATAATTGTGCATATATCTACACTATTTCTTTACTCTGTAAGCTCCGATTTTCAATGTAATTACAGGTCATTGCTCCCTCTGCAAACGTATCTTGAAGATATGCCAATTCAAGGCCCCTCATGTGTGGCCATGCCTGGGCCTTTTGCAGGTGCACGCCTCAGAAGCCATCTGGAAGTAAGCATCCAACACCACACAAAGAAAATGGCAAACTATGCCAACTATGCCAACAATCAAGCAAATGTGTCAAACAAACAAGCTAAGACAGCTAAGACCCAGTCTGCGTGTGATAAGCGCAAATGCCAGCTTTGCACAGATCACATTTCCTGAGTTGTGCTTGTCCTATCAGGACTTGTGGCTTGCATCCATGATGTAAATTGCACACAGTGACAGCAGAGTTGCCTTGGAAGGTGGGACTTTCAAACTTCCCTGCATTTTCATAAGAATAGAAGGTGGTCCAGCATTTTGCTACCTTCGGCTTTGTATGAAAATGGGGGTCCCACCGATTCCAATGGGTTATCATCATCTTTCCTATTGAAATATATGTATATGACGGTTTGTCAAAATGTCTGTTCCCGGTTTTGTTGATAAATCGCAATTCCATGCGTGCCGCCTCATGTTTGCCTTTAAAAAACATGACCTACCTTGATGACGTGAAAACGTGGAAATTCTTCGTTACCTTTGGAAATCTTTCTAAAACCACAGGAATCGGCTAACGCACGTCGGTTTTCATTCGCTGTCGCTGGTACTATCTCCTGAACTGTGTGTCTCTGTGTGTGTCTGCCTCTCTGAATGCAATATGCTTCTTGACATGCCTCCTGATCAACGTTGTTTCCTTACTGTAAGCTACCAAAGCGTGAACATGGCTGTGCCTCTGAATGGGCGTGGGTGGACCGGGGCATGTATTTGCAATTTTCGCTAGCGCGTTGCTAGCGGTGATCTAGCGCGTAAAAAAGGTAAACAAATCGAAAATGTGGGAATATGTGGAAACTGACAGACTTGTAAGAAAAGCTGGCAAGACATTCACATGGAGGCCATGGCTGTCAATCAAACCTAGCGCAAACCTAGCGGGTTTGCTAGCGCTGCCTTGCAGAATTGCTGAATTTAGTTGCGTGCCGCCTCATAACGAAGAGGCAAAAACAGTAGATCCAGATGAATTATCAACAACCAATACTAAACTTCTAAACAACTATTTTTGACAAATGGTCATATATGTAACTTAATTGCATCGGCTGCAGACATGAACATCAAAATCAATCCAAAAGCATTTTCATTACCGGTCTGCACCCTTGCCAATAACCAGCCATATAGTATACCCTCTGGTAATTTAACATAGCTATAGAAAATCACCATTGTTAATGGGTAAATCCACTATAAATGACCATTTTCAATAGCTATGTTAGTTTACCATGTATTGAGGGCAAACACAATTGATTTCTTCTCTGATCTTGAGAGCCGGTCGCTGTGCTGTCAGCACCTGACATTGATTGGCGATTGAAGCGGTCAGGGACAATGACATCCATGAAATCCTTCCTGGCAAATGTTCGAATCAAAGGAATCAAAGGTCAAATACCCAGCTTCAAAGATATAATCAATACTACCGTTTAAACATGTTTAAACATCACTGCAACATGGAATTGAGTATATCTTTGAAGCGGGGTATTTGAACTTTGGACATGTATCTTTGAGACGTACTTCACCTTCGTGAACAAAACCTGTGAATTTGCAGGCGTCCAGTTTTTAAAAACATAGAATTAGGATGAACATGGATGAACTAGGAATGTCCTCCGTTCCAATCAAACTGAAGCCTTGTTCGCAGCCAGCTTCCCAAAACCATGGCCTTCTGGGCTGCATTCAGCGATGGCCTGTTCCGACAGCGTCCAACAACTTTGTCCCCTTGCCAACTGGAACGGAAGCACACCTGATACATTTGGAACACAATCCTTTGTTCTCTGCCCAAACAATTGTGTTTGAGCATCAAAGTACATACTCACATCTCTTGCCCTCTCTTGCTACATGCAATTTCTGCACTTGAACAAGGTCTCATGATGCTCTGCTGTAAGTTTGACAATCACATGGCCACACCCTTGACTGGAGACATATGAGACATGATAGATATGCAGGTACCAACCTCCAGTTGCTCTGAGAGGAATGGCTCTTGGATCTCTTGGGGGCTTTGGCGCGGACCTTCGTGGTCACACGATTTGAAACCACCAGCCAGTTCTCTGTCCAGTACACATACGTTTCCTGCAAGAAATATCCGCCTCTTAGCCCTGGCTGCTGCTGCAATCTGGCAGAGATATCTTCGCTTAGGGCCTGGATCAAGGTATGAACAACCCCAAAGCTGGATTTTGACAGAACAATCACTGGATTTTGATGAACAACCCTATATTTAATGGGAAAATCTATGGTTTCCTGTAGATTTTCCCTTAAACCAATCCATTGAAACAACCCACCTGTTTCAAATCTGTTTGTCCAATTGGATCCAAGTGGTTCATCTGTTTGAGATTTCAATTTCCACTGCCAATGAGACTCACTGTCTCCGTTCCTGTTTGTTCCGTGATCCTTCAACCATCAAAATTCATAGTTCAACTGGTTCTTGGTCCCCTCCAGTTTCGAAGAAAAAACTTCCAGGAAAAAACAAGGAATATTGATTTTCGCTTAAAATCCTGATAAATCTGATGTGAAACTTGACCTTTTTGGGGTAAAGGTATGCATTTTTGGTGGAAATACAGGAAAGACAGGAAATCAAACAGTTCCGCCGGTCAGAACTACAGGACATTCAAAATTGAATAGACTTGGGTTAACATTGGGTAAAAGTTGATTAAATTTGGATAACACTTGATTAAAATCGATTAAATCCTTGATATTTTCTGATAATGTTTGAGGGGTTTGAGGTTTGAGGTGGTCAAACATATTCAGATTTATTGGACTCTAGTTACCCTCTACATTTTCCTGCCGATTTTATGACAGTTGCGCTGGCCTTCCACTGCTTCAAACCTTTGCCAGAAAGGGCTGGAAGGTCCTCCTGCAAACACCACAATAGCTGCTCTTTTGATCCATCCCCATGTTGTTGGTTTAATATGGTTTAATCATATTCCATTGTCTACACAGTCTACACATGCACATCTCCAGCATATACCAATCATTATATCCCCACTGCGGGTGACATCCCCAAGTGTCCTGTGCTTCAACCTCCAAGAACTGCAGCAAACGGGCGCACCTCACTTCGTCAGAAATTGGCAGAACTGCCGTGGATTCGATAAGGCTTCATTTTGGAGGGTATGGGCCATGTCATCCATGTTAGCAAGAATATGGTTGAATCTATATCAACATATCATAAACTATCATAAAATATCATGAAATATCATAAAATATCATACATCATCAGTTACCATCTTGTATGCACTTTCGCTGTTCGGGTTTCTGAAACAAGACAGTATGGGCCTGGAAAGCTTCTTGCAGATCTGCACAAAGTCCTGGTGGCGATTTCCATTGACTGCTCCACAGAAACACCTACGGAATCCTAATTATTTGCATATGATCTTGTCTGACTTGACTGACGCCGTCCACTGGGTTTGAGATTGTAGAGTACCCTCTAGGCGCAGGCGCAAAAACTTGTGAAGCTAAAACTCGTGCAAACTAGACCTGCTTGCAACTGTAACTGGAGATTGGCAGAAACTCTCTCAGCTTGTTGCCGAAGAATATATATCTTTAAAAAAATAGATCATAAAATTCTAAGAAACAGAAGAAACATCTCTTGCTCTTGCAAAACATCTCCTGTAAGCTAAGCATGTGCTCCATGTCTCGCATAACCTTGGCATTGGTCCCACATTTCCAGCCAGGCCATGAGATAGGTGCTGTGTGCATGGTTATTGGCAGAAAGGAGTGGAAAAGCAGAGCACAAATTCAAACATATACTGAGATACATATACATAGTATATACATATAATGTTATATACAAATATCATATACATATGCATATGCATGTACAAATACATATACGTATAAATACATAAACATATACATACACATATACGTACATACATGTATCTATCTGTACATGTATATATATACACGTATGGAAATTTATCGCTACTTATTACATATGCATTAACACCATATGTATATACATAGTATATAATGTATAATAATGTGTGTATATATATACATACTTACATAAATATATATATATGTATATATACACACTGGATGTCTCTAATGTACAAATCGCTTGCATGCCAGGCTGAAGTCACTTGGTCAAGATCCCTGCCCAACTTTCTGGGAAGGTAAAGCAGTTCACCTAAATCAAGTGTTGTGATGCAAGAAAACCACCTACATTATCGTTGCATGGCATTGTGCGCATGTGCCGAGTAAATCTCTAGGTGCGAATCTATGTACCTCGCACATCCTCACACTGCTTGGCTCAAAGACAGCTTGAAGAAGGACATCCCACTTCTCCTCAAACGAGCTTCTTTCTCAAAGACTTTTGCAACTTTGCATCCATTGTACACTTTGTGCTTAAGCTCAGACAAAGGGCCACAATGTCGTGCATCTCAAAAGGATGCCATTGAATCTCAGAATCCCAAAAGGCTATTGTGGCTGGACTGTCTGCTTACCATCACTTGCAGGACCCCTGCGGGAGGCTTCCCAGCGTCCGGTCCTTTTCAAAAGTGATGCTGACCTTGGCTTCAACACAAGCAGGCGTCCAAAAACTGGACGCAGCCAGAAAAGATCATGAACAGTGCCGGTCATGCGGAGTCATCAAGTTTGAAAGAGCCAACAAAAGAGCCTTCAGCCAAGCTGCCATCTTTTGAGCCACGTGCAAAGCATGAGCTGCGCATTCGGTCTTTGCCACAGAGTCATGGCCCCGGCATGTCTGGCGAGTGAAAGTTCTGTTGGTGAACAGCTGGTCATGTGGTTTCAATATATATGTTTCAATGAGATTGCTTTCCTCGATACGTACGGAACACGCACATCATCTTGTGGCGAGTATCACAACTAGGCAGTGGTCAGTTTTCAATGAAATGTCCTGCCTCGAGGAATTTAGACACAGCCTTGGCATATCTTGGCACCGACTTGGCTGGTCAGGTGGTGATTCATCCCCAAACCCGACTGGCTTATCGATAAGCTGGGGTTCCCGGTGTGGGTAAAAATCATTGAACATCACCATGAAATCAATTTGCATCCATTTGCAATATAACACCATGGGGATTTTTGATCATGCCCAAATAACAATCGATCGCAATCAATGATAAGGGATTTTGGGCGTTGCCCAGCCTGGGCTTTCAGTCGACAATGAGACTCTGACTGTGCTATCAGCAACTGCATTCTCTCGTAGCAGTTCTAAGAACTGTGGAAACTGGAGTGTGTCCTGAATTTGCTCAGACCGGTCGGTCCGACTAGTTTAAAACCGCACAGACTTACACAAATCAATGTGTCTTCCAAGAAAGAAAATCACAAACAGTTGGAAGCTGATTCACTTGCCTACTTCCAAGTGCACACCCGAAAGATTACGTCGAATACATCAACTCAGCACAGGCTTGCTCGAAGCTTACTCAGATAGATAGGCTATATAGGCTATAGCGGCTTTGGATGTTGAAATCACAAGAGTTACGTACAAACATGCAGGGGTGAACCTGTCTTTGATCTTCACTCTCTCTCTCTCTCAGCAAAAAGCAATCACACACCCCTCCTCTGCTGGTGCAAGAACTTGCCTCAAAGCATCTGCTAACCTGAAAATACAGCAAAATCGCTGACATCGGCTGACATCGGCTGACATCGTTTGACACGTTCACAGTATCGGTTGGGGCCACGATGCTTTCTGAAGCGGCCAAAACGACAATAAGGCAGCTTTCAAAAATTCTAAAAACTGAAAAAATCCAAGCGTTGCTTGGTACACTCTGGAACTTGGTGCGGTGCCTCTCACCACCACCTTGGACGTTGATGTCCTTCCCGCGAAGCTGCGTGATGCAACTTCTTGGGGGAGATTGCGGTAACATATGGCAACATAATATGGTAACAAAGTGATGCATCTAAGGACATGTTTAAGTTTTGCCAGCCTCTCTGCACGCAACAATTCATCAAACCTCTATCTATCTATCTATCTATCTATCTATCTCTCTATCTAATCTAATCTAATCTATTCTAATCTAATCTAATCTAATCTATCTATCTATCTATCTATTGTTGCCATGGGCGCTGCAGGGCGCCTGGGTGTTATGTTGTCTGTTGGGTGTTTTTTGTTTTTTTGGGCGTTTTTCTGTTTTTGTTTGATGATTGGTTGGGGTGGGGTTGGGTGGGGTGGGGTGGGGTGGGATGTTAACGTTCATGTTCATGTTATACTGATGATGTTACAGTACGTTGATCATGGGGTGGGGTGGGGTGGGATGTAAAACTTCATGTTCATGTTGCGCTGATGATGTTACGTTGATCATGGGGTGGGATGTTAACGTTCATGATGTTCATGTTCATGTTACGCTGATGATGTTACGCTGATCATGGGGTGGGGTGGGGTGGGATGTTATAACGTTTATGTTCATGTTACACTGATGATGTTACGTTGATCATGGGGTGGGGCGGGGTAACGTTCATGTTAAATGTTACGCTGATGATGTTACGTTGATCATGGGGTGGGATGGGGTGGGATGTTAACGTTCATGTTCATGTTCGGCTGAAATTGTTCCATGGTTGAAGTAGTTTTTGAGAAGTGAAAAACAGGCGTGCAAGGCTGCATGCGCAGATACATTGGGAAGTGCACGCAACCCCCCTTAAAACCACCAGGCGCCTCTCAGCGCCTCGATGTTACTTGAATGCTATTGCATTGAAGGCTTGAGTATACGAAATATTACGAAATAGCTGGGGTGAGGAATTCAGGAAAGACTCAAAAGGATCTCAGAAGCAAAAGCAATCTCAACCAAGGAGGACGATGCAGTCAGTTTATTCCAGTTCAAGTTCAAAGGTCTGACACCCGAAGCTTTGCGTAAGCGTCCGTGTGGCTGGCGAGGAAATTCAAAACCTGCAAACCAAAAGGCTCTCAAGTCATTTGGAACCACTAGGGCCGGGGATGTCCATCACGTTCAAAGCTGGGGCTTCCACTTGGGCTTACCATGGGATGCAGGATCCCTACCCAAATGCAACCGTCATTCTTCTCAAATCCAAACAATTCGGCATTCAATCGGAACACTTCGGCACAGATAAAACCGCCGCCTGCGGGTCGACGACCGAAGGTGGCTCATCCTTGCACGTCACTGGCAACACACCGAAAGTCACAAGATGTTACACAATCTCATGTTGAAAGGGCAAGTTGAAGGTGTTTAATGCTTTAAACATGCTGCATCATCTGCATGCAATTCACAGGCCTCGTGACAAAGCTCGCTGTATACCTGTCCATAGGCATGTTCTTCTGACCTTATCTCCGGTTGACAGCTTGCATCTTTACATCTTCAAGACTTGTGAAAGAAACCGAAAGACAATGCATTAAAACGCAAGATCACTGTGCTTGACTGAACGCAAGCAGTGAATAAGTATCAGCAAGAACAGTACCAGGTTCTATGATTTTTGCACCTTTCCCGGCTCGGTGCAAAAAGGGGAAAAAGGATCCGACTGATCGATCTGCTCAGCTATTGATTCCAAGAGCTGCCTCTGGCGTGTCTGAAGCCAGAGACTAAGGACATCAAAGGACCCTTAATTTGACGAGGCAGTGGAAGTCGAGAGCATAGGGAGGAGAATGTGCAGGTGAACGATCAATTAGTGTTGAAATGTACAGTGTCTTGCTCAATTCGCTCCTTCTCAGGAACTATATTAGTTTCGATGGGGTTACACTCTGTGTAGAACCCCACCACTTTGCTGACCGATTGGATATCGGCGCCTGTTCCTTTCCTCGGCACGCTGCATGCAAATGCCACACATGATAGAATAGATGGACGGAACGTATTTCTGTGTGCTGAATTTTGCTGACACGTCCTCTATTGACACATGCAACCTGTCTGAGTGGAATGAGGAGGATCTGACTGTCCAGCAACAAAGTATGACTCAGCTAAAGAGCCGAAGTCTGCTATTTTGAAAGCAAATCCTCACATGACTCCAGTGTCTTCAGCCCAGCAGCATCTCTTTTGGCTTTGGCTGCTTCGCGTCTGGCAGCTTCCTTGTCCTCGCACAATCCTCCCTACATTCAACACACATCTCCACGTTGTCTTGATCTGAGATGAACCATCTGCCTAGATTCAGGCTTAAAGAGTGCTGCAGGTGCAAACTAAATCAAGGCTCCCATCAGATCAGTCAGACAGTGAAACCTTCATCTTTATCAAATTCAACGCCCTAACATTAAACACGCGAACATGTTTGCGATTGGTGGATGCGCGTGCTCTCTCTCTCTCTCTTTCTTTCTTTTTCCCTCATCTCTCTCCAAGGGAAGTGCTTCAACCGAACCTGCTTTGCTTTCACTTTTGCCTTGCGGTTCAAGCGGATCCAAAATGAAGCATGTGAAAACAAAAGCGAGGAAAATGACAAGGCATGAATTTTTGATTATCCTTGCAAAGCACGAGAAGATGGCAACACAGCATCGGCATGGCAACCGAAATCAAATCCATGCAATACTACAAAAAAACAGTGACTGTGATAAAAATAGTTTTAATCATATCTCTAATACTAACTATATTCGTCTTCATATAACTATAGCAACTATATCTATAATTGAATATAATTGTATTTTTAACATCCTATAACTATCAAAGAACTGCCATCCATAAAGCTGATCTGAGCTCTGCGCCTCATGCGCCTGACGGGCCTGTTCGCGCTTGGCGCCTGACGACTGGACGGTTGGGGACGGCTGCATATGTCATTGGGCAAATTGCCAGTATGATGAGTATATAATGGGTATATAATGGGTATATAATGGGTATATAATGGGTATAATAATGGGTATAATAATGGGTGTATATAATGATGATATAATGGGTATATAATGGATATAATAATGGGTATAATAATGGGTATAATAATGGGTATATAATGATGATATAATGGGTATATAATGGATATAATAATGGGTATAATAATGGGTATAATAATGGGTATATAATGATGATATAATGGGTATATAATGGATATAATAGGGATTGTCTACAATGCATGGCAGACCCATCACAGGGAGTAGTAGAAACTCACTTCCCATGAGGCAACCGTGTCCTAGCCCTTGTCCTAGCTAAGGCAATTCATGCAAATCAAGACAAATCAAATGCAGTACTAGTGTCAAAGCATATTAAAACATATCAAAACTGTTCAGCTTGCAACAGTTTTGACCCTCTAGAAGTCAAATTGGAACACATCAACCTGTGAACTTCAACCTCCCCGGAAGGTCGAATCCCTTTTTCCCCGGTGTGCGAGTGTGTATGTCAAATGTACACAATGTGTGTGTGTGTGCGTCACAACATCCGAAGCCACCTTGAACATTCTTGTCGTAGTTCACCATGGCATCCAAAGAACGGCTGCAAACATCTTGGAAATTCTTGGAAATATATTGAGTTGAATGAGTCCACTGCCATGTTGAGGTTGTTTCAAGAAATGTGGGTTGTTTCGTAAGGCCTCTGATGCGGTGCTGTCACGGCTGTCACTTTGTGTCCCAAGGTGTTTCAGCTCTGTCCAGTCCCAATGTGTTGCCAATTAGGCTGTGGTCACTCCTCGTCGCAGGTTCAATGCACTACTGGAGTATAAACTTATAAGCTATGGATCACCGGGCGAGCAACGTCTGCTTCATGCTATTGGGATACATGGGTGTTGGCTGTGATGGTAAGTGGTTTATAGTGGTTTATCCAAGCCTCCCCGAAAAGGGGCAGCATGTTGGGAGCATAGTTCATCAACTACCTCGTCCATAATTGCACATAGTTGTATATAATTGTACCAGTAGTGCCCGCACGAGGCGGGGCGGAAGTTGCCTTAAAGATATATATAAGACCTTTCTCATCTATAGAACTTGCATGCGCCGTGCGCCAGCCAAGCCCGTGCGTGCGTGCACTCTTCGAAAGTGGTGTCCTGTTTCAAATGTCACATTTCAAGCTCCACTTCGCACTTCACACTCCACACTTCACACTTCACACTGCACTCTTCGCACTCCACACTTCACACTTCACACTGCACTCTTCGCACTCCAAACTTCACACTCCACACTTCACACTTCTCACTTCTCACTTCTCACTCCACACTTCACACTCCACACTTCACACTCCACACTTTACACTCCACGCTTCACACTTCTCACTGCTTTCTTCAGACTCCACACTTCATACTTCACACTTTACACGTCACAGTCCACACTTCACACTTCTCATTGCTTTCTTCACACTCCACACTTCTTCACTCCACAGAGAAGCTTTTACACACAGCAAGCTTTCACACACAGCAAGCATTTACACACAAAACACTTACACACAGTGCTTTTACACATGGAAAGCGCTTACACACACACACAGAAACTTTTTTTACACAGAGACGCTTTTACACACAGAGAAGCTTTTACACACAGCAAACTTTTACACACAACATCTTTTACACACAGCAAGCTTTCACACACAGCAAGCGTTTAGACACAGAACACTTACACACAGTACTTGCACACAGTGCTTTTACACACACAAACTTTTACACACAGGCATTGCAGCTCCGAAACCGGATCTCGACGCCAAAGCAGAAAAAAGACGATTTTGATGCGCTTTTTAAAAGGATTTTTTAAAGGAAAATTACTAACGCCAAAATTGCGAAAATCTGCTGACAAATTACTATCGCAGCCTTGATGCAGCCACTCCAATACGATTTACAATCTTCAGCTGCAAAAGACAATAGTATTACGCATGCAGCCGCGGCGGCAAGCAACCTTGAGGCAGCCACTCCAATGCGATCTGCAGAGACTGAGTTGCAAATCACAATAGAACTAAACGCAACGGCGTCGGAAATTGCAGCTCCAAAACCGGATGGATCTCGACGCCAAAGCAGAAAAAAGACGATTTTGATGCGCTTTTTAAAAGGATTTTTAAAAGGAAAATTATTAGCGCCAAAATTGAAAAAATCTGCTGACAAATCACTTTCGCAGCCTTGATGCAGCCATTCCAATACGATTTACGATCTTCAGCTGCAAAAGACAATAGTATTACGCATGCAGCCGCAGCACCGAGCAACCTTGACGCAGCCATTCCAATGCGATCTGCAGTTACTCAGTTGCAAAACACAATAGAATCACGCACAATGGCATCGGAAACTGCGGCTCCAAAACCGGATCTCGACGCCAAAACGAAAAAAAAGACGATTTTGAAGCACTGTTTAAAAGGAATTTTAAAAGGAAAATTATTAGCCCCAAAATCGAAAAAATCTGCTGACAAATCACTTTCGCAGCCTTGATGCAGCCATTCCAATACGATTTACGATCTTCAGCTGCAAAAGACAATAGTATTACGCATGCAGCTGCGGCACCATGCAACATTCATGCAGCCATTCCAATGCGATCTGCAACCACAGCTTCAAGAAACGCATAGAACTACGCACACAGGAACAAGCATTCTTGCAAAACCCATAGGAGGAACCAATCGCGTCCGGAACGACCGCAGCCGCACCCGTCGCACAGACGAGGTACCTTTCATCGTCGCCTGCAGCCACTTTACACGGAAAAACACGAGGTTTCGTGCTCTGGCTTCCTCCCCACAACATAGCCCATGCAACATTGAAGACGCCATTCCAATGCGATCTGCAACCACAGCTTCAAGAAACGCATAGAACTACGCACACAGGAACAAGCATTCTTGCAAAACACATAGGAAGGAACCAAACGACCGCAGCCGCACCCGCCGCACAGACGAGGTACCTTTCATCGTCGCCTGCAGCCACTTTACACGGAAAAACACGAGGTTTCGTGCTCTGGCTTCCTCCCCACAACATGCAACATTCATGCAGCCATTCCAATGCGATCTGCAACCACCGCTTCAAGAAACGCATAGAACTACTCACACAGGAACAACCATTGTTGCAAAACACATAGAAGGAACCAAACGACCCCAGCCGCACCCGCCGCACATACGAGGTACCTTTCATCGCAGCCACTTTAGACGGAAAAACACAAGGTTTCGTGCTCTGGCTTCCTCCCACAGATGCAACATTCATGCAGCCATTCCAATGCGATCTGCAACCACAGCTTCAAGAAACGCATAGAACTACGCACACAGGAACAAGCATTCTTGCAAAACCCATAGGAGGAACCAATCGCGTCCGGAACGACCGCAGCCGCACCCGCCGCACAGACGAGGTACCTTTCATCGTCGCCTGCAGCCACTTTACACGGAAAAATACAAGGTTTCGTGCTCCGGCTTCCTCCCCACAACATTGCCCATGCAACATTCATGCAGCCATTCCAATGCGATCTGCAACCACAGCTTCAAGAAACGCATAGAACTACGCACACAGGAACAAAGATTCTTGCAAAACCCATAGGAGGAACCAATCGCGTCCGGAACGACCGCAGCCGCACCCGTCGCACACACGAGGTACCTTTCATCGTCGCCTGCAGCCACTTTACACGGAAAAATACAAGGTTTCGTGCTCCGGCTTCCTCCCCACAACATTGCCCATGCAACATTCATGCAGCCATTCCAATGCGATCTGCAACCACAGCTTCAAGAAACGCATAGAACTACGCACACAGGAACAAAGATTCTTGCAAAACCCATAGGAGGAACCAATCGCGTCCGGAACGACCGCAGCCGCACCCGTCGCACAGACGAGGTACCTTTCATCGTCGCCTGCAGCCACTTTACACGGAAAAATACAAGGTTTCGTGCTCCGGCTTCCTCCCCACAACATTGCCCATGCAACATTCATGCAGCCATTCCAATGCGATCTGCAACCACAGCTTCAAGAAACGCATAGAACTACGCACACAGGAACAAAGATTCTTGCAAAACCCATAGGAGGAACCAATCGCGTCCGGAACGACCGCAGCCGCACCCGTCGCACAGACGAGGTACCTTTCATCGTCGCCTGCAGCCACTTTACACGGAAAAACACGAGGTTTCGTGCTCTGGCTTCCTCCCCACAACATAGCCCATGCAACATTGAAGACGCCATTCCAATGCGATCATCATCACCTCCTTTCATCATCACTTCCCTTCGTCACCACTTCCCTTCTCCACCACTTCCCTTCCTCACCACCTCCCTTCTTGACCACTTCCCTTCCTCACCACTTCCCTTCGCCACCACTTTCCTTCCTCACCACTTCCCTTCCTCACCACTTCCCTTCTTGACCACTTCCCTTCCTCACCACTTCCCTTCGCCACCACTTTCCTTCCTCACCACTTCCCTTCGGCACCACTCCCCTTCTTCACCACTTCCCTTCTTCACCACTTCCCTTCGTCACCACTTCCCTTCTCCACCACTTCCCTTCCTCACCACTTCCCTTCGTCACCACTTCCCTTCATCACCACTTCCCTTCTTGACCACTTCCCTTCCTCACCACTTCCCTTCTTCACCACTTCCCTTCGTCACCACTTCGCTTCGTCACCACTCCCCTTCTTCACCACTTCCCTTCTTCACCACTTCCCTTCGTCACCACTTCCCTTCTCCACCACTTCCCTTCTTCACCACTTCCCTTCGTCACCACTCCCCTTCTTCACCACTTCCCTTCTTCACCACTTCCCTTCGTCACCACTTCCCTTCTTCACCACTTCCCTTCTTCACCACTTCCCGTCGTCACCACATGTAGTGTAAAGTCTCACACCACCCTTCATCAAGGTCAATTCTTTTCTGATGTATTGTTATGTAGTGTAACGTCTCACACCACCCTTCATCAAGGTCAAGTCTCAATCGCGCACCACCCTTCATCATTTCAAGTCTCAGAATTCTATTTGTCCGTAACACGGAAGTATTGCTTCCCAACTTCCTTTGATAATATTGCAGATGATTATAATTGGATGCTCCCAGCACATTGCCAACACCCTCAATCTCAAAAATACATGGATTCTGCCATATGTTGCCACTGTATCCACTGTATCCGGCATGTCAACGATATTTGACCTGGCTCGAAGGAAATTCCCAAGGATCAGGGTGGTGTCGCACCCACTGCTTGTCAGTGATGGTGGATGCCAGCTCCACCTGGCGCAGATGGCCACAATAATTATAGCCATATGGATTTAATCCATAGCCATAATCCATGATGGTCCATATAAAAAAGGAATCATTCATTTATTTCATCATATTGGATCCACACACGTCACCTCTGCCAGGAGATTGTACTCGTGTCTCCCCGGGAACCGGCGAATGCGCCACACCACGGCCCCCTGGCCACATGCAGCTGGTCAGGTTGATCTTCGAAGATTTTGTACACACACAACATAGATTAACATAGATAGGATAGGTGTATAAATAAAAATATGGATATACTAATATATTAACATCGTATACATCTATTAATTTATGTACTGAACCAGATTTGGAGTCAACAGCAGTAACGGTTCCAAGGTTTCATCTCAGTAGCGGCTTGCATCCATGGTGCACACTTGGACATACTCTGGACACACACGTCTGTGGCCAAATTCCTTCCAGACCTGCGCTGGATCAAATCGAGCTTTGCCGTGCCTCGGCAACAACGACAGACTAAGAAATTTGGTGGAAAAGCAAGAATAGCTCTGGTCAAGGCCACTTCAACATCAAATTCAGCTTTACTGCACTGCACGTGTAGTTTCATCAGCATATAACACTGATTCTAGAATCAAAGTGTTGACCAATCCAAGCCTTGCATCAGGCTTCAGTTCTGGAAGCTGAATAGGCAACAAACTCTGATGAATATGGACTTAGAACCACTCAGCGGCCACTTGTCTGGGGCCCGACATGAACAAATGGCTGCTGCACTTGTGATGCCAAGGGCTGATCGCTGAATCTTGAGGATTTTTGAAGGCATTGATGGAAGCCTAAATCAAACTAGCCTTTCAGGCCTTTGGAATGCATATTTCTTAGCCACTTACATCATAACCCGATCATATGACATTATATATATATAATTATATCATATGATATAATATTATATTATATAATATTATATGATATTATATGATATTATATGATATATATATAATATTATATGATCTTTGAGAATATCTTGAATCTTCCCAGTTTATGATTTCCATGGGCCAAAACGCCCATCATCACATCATCCGAGATGCGCGGTGTTTGGGATGTGAGCCTTGGCCGTGTTTTTCGGACAAGGAAAGTCAATCCGGACCTGGGCGACCAGCGAGACACCCATCTGAAGTCCATCTGAAGTCCATCTGAAGTCCATCTGAAAGCGAAGAAGTGTACACCAAACACCAAGCAGCATCCTGGAATCTGTGATTTTTGGATATTTTGGGTATAAATTGCTGACTGTGTGGATCTGTACAGCAGCTTGTTCGCATCATCACACCCCAGTCATGCGCCGGATCTGAGATTCTCGGCATTTGTGGCTTCAATGTTGCGGTCGTACCTACAAAAACGGATGGTTTCCATCAAATTGATGTCATTTTCAGGGTTGGAATCTGTCTACCATCGTCAAAATATGTTAAAATAATATAAAATAATCATCCAAATTGCTCTCAAAGGTTCCATCTTGCTCAAGAACCAGGCCATAAAGATGTCCACTTGCAAAATACATCAAAATACCACATCATAGACCACAACTGTTCCATAGGATTTCTGTATGGTCTGAGTTCCACACATGGCGGTGACCTGCAGGCTGAGCTCCAGCCGGCTACGACCGAGCACCTCGGGAAATCGCTGTGAGGCTGTGAGGCTGTGAGGATCTGGGAAATGGAAATTTCTCATGGTGCCATATGGATCCATATGGTGCCTTCACATTCGGCAGCAGCTTGAAGGGACTCTCGATGTTCTCAGTGATGCGATACCTTGTGCACCGTGGGAATTTTCAAAGCTCGCAGACTTCCCTTCTCCAATTCTTTAAGTGACTGAAGAAGATATCACCATATTAAACATGAATCAAATACCTTGCAGGAATGATCGAGAGTCACGGCGCAGTAACAGGCAAGTAACAGGCAAGACTCAGATTCTGGCGTCATCAGCTGGAATGGCTCATCTGGTGGAATGAAGGTGATCTCGCGATCCACGTCGAATTTCGACAGTCGAACGCACTGGTGAAACCTGGCGGCCGGAAAAAACTGGCGACATAAAGCGAAGGCAAGGCATCCGCATCCGCCCATGAGATGATGTTGCGACTGCAGCACTTAAAAAAGCGCTGTGACTAGATGTAAACTGATCGCAGGCGGTTTTTGGGGATTCTTATGAGGATGATGCGAAATTCACTGCGATTAATGATGTCATTTTTTCATTCAACGATTCAAACACCATGAATCAACTCAAGGTAAGATCGCAAGCACCTGTCCTCTAGATTTTCCGGTTTTCCCACCACATTATCTATCCAAATCATTTGGTTTTTACATGTTTTTATATACCACAATTGACCAGTCCTTTCCTGAGCAGGACATCGCCACGTGGCCCCACCTATAATCGTCTAAGGCGATCCCTTTGTCGCTACTTCGCGCTCGCGCCTCAGCGGTCCTTGGAGAGGCATTGGTTCACGCAGAGCTTCCATGTCTTCAGTTTAGTATGTGCAAATTACACAGAATATATAGTAGGATTAGGATATAGATAATAGGATATAGTGGGATATAGTAGGATATAGTAGGATGTAGTAGGATATAGTAGGATATAGTAGGATGTAGTAGGATATAGTAGGATGTAGTAGGATATAGTAGGATATAGTAGGATATAGTAGGATATAGTAGGATATAGTACGTATGTATGTATCTATAGATATTATATCATAAATAAATATAATTATATATATATATATAATATCAACATATGTATGTACGTATGTCGAATGTTACAAAATGATATAAAATGGATCAACATGGTACATATCAGGAACCAACACAGGCAAAAAACATGGGAAAACCACAAACGCAGTCCAGACATAGGTGTTTTCTCGCTGAGCAAAGGACATGATTAGCTTGTCATTCATGCCAAATTTGCATTCGGGCATTCCTGACAACCTCAGCGGAGATGTTGCGATATCATTCATTCAATATTCATTCCATGCATGCATCAGCACGTGCAAGTACCATAAAAAAATAAAAAAACGTCGTCTCAGTGCGCCAGACCAGTTGCTTCCTGACTTCATCAAGTCTCATCAATCACATGGAGTAGAGGAATGTAGAGGACATTATTCTTAGATGCTTGATTTTGTTTGATTTGTTTTGCCAGCTGTGTGGCATGTTCAATGTGTCGGTGTAAGTACGTATGTTCTACTTAATCTCTTGTTGCTACTTGAATAGAACACATTGCTCTGCACAACGACCGCCTTTCTGACAGAGTTGAGACTCACACTTGCAATTCACCAGGATCTCCCCAGATACCTTGGGCAAGCTGCGAAATGCCACAAGGCTCGCATCTCAGAAAACGATCTTCATTCCTGTCTAAGCCCTCCACATCTGCCCTCAACCGTTCCCGTTTCGTTGACATTAAAATGTTCACCTTGGTGCTCGAACTCTCAGGGCAGGCGAGCCGTCAACATGAAATGTCGGTGAGTCGTTGAGTCGGTGAGAGTGTCACGTTGAGCACTAATCATTAATCACACATGATATCACATGTATCTGGGGCGGAATGCCATGCCTACACATGGCATTGCCGAGCTTCCCGCTTTTTCAATTACATCAATGAAAACCTGCAGCGCAACAAAAGCGCCCCAATTCTGACTTGCAGCGGAGGGCATGAAGAAAAGGGCATTCACACGTGCAGTGTTGATACACTAAGTTTTCAAAGGTGTCATTCAGTTTTTGCTTGTCACTCTATTCTCGTGCCTTCTGCTTTCATTTCACATTGGCAGTGGAAATCTTCGACACTTGCAAACAGGAGAGCGACTTTTTATTGCATATGCTAGACTTACATTTTAAAAATACAGCTACGAGTACCTTAATTCTTTGCAGACTTCCATTCAGTGGAATGGATCAAATCGTCTCATGAACAGCTTTGGATGCAATTTTCAATCTCGCTCTCTCGCGGCCTGGGTTGCCAGTCGGTTTTGGAACTACGATTCAATCTGGACTGTTCAGGTATGATCAACTTTCATGCAATCTTTCAGCTCCCCATTCCTCGAACATTCCTCGAACTAAGGATGTCTGCAGTGTCTTCAATCGCAAACAACCGCGCCTCATTTTTCCGATGCTTAATGCCTTCAGCGCGCCATGAGCACACCCCTGTGGCCTGGCTGAACATACAAAATGTATCAAATTTTGCTAGCACAACACACATCAACACACATCAACACATCAACACACAATACGTGACATACACTGTGACACACACTGTGACACACACTGTGACATACACGACATTTACCAGTTTTAAAATGTCTTAAACATTGTTAAATATTCTTAATGGAACTGTTCATGCATGTTTCATCATGAAGGATGACTCTCAGTGATGGATGAGACATGGAAGGTGAAGTTGAGTTGGATATCGCCTACAAAGATTACAAAAGGCAACCACTCCAAATCCATGGTTGCCCTTCTGCACCTGCACCGTAATCTTTTTGAGTTGCTCCTGGTCATTGAGGTCGATGTTCTTGGCACCGCCCTAGTGCACAGTTCAGAGTTCGATTGTAGGATCTTTGCACAGGAAAGCAATCTTGACAACATGACTATACGGACTATACGTCACTGCTAGTTTGCACCAAGTACATCCCCATACATCCCCCAAGAAAACCCTTGTGCGGATTCTTCATGATTCTTCTACTTCCCCCAACGATTTGCTCACCCTCCCTTGGAGTGGCACGGCAAATCCCTACATCGACCTGGGTGATGTACTTCTTTAGCACATCAACCTCCAGGATCTGTGGATAACCTCCAGCTATCTCCAGCTGCATTTGCTGTCTCGGCTCAGCTTCCATTTGCATCAATTTTTTGGTCTCCCCCGAGGCCACGACCATAGTCAATGATCTCATCTAACCTAAGCACTAAGAGACTGCAAAGAGACACTGCAGGTATCTGCAGGTCCCTGATCCTAAGGCATGAGTGATTGACTGTTCTTCAGCAGAAATTGTCCATGCGAAAACCACGAAAGGGGGGGGAACACGGTCAGCTTGTCAAAGTCCACTTTGCTCCAGAAATTATATAGATTGTACAAATTCATGATAAGGTCCTATTCAGCCAAATCCACACTGATTCTTCTTCTGATTCGCTCTGGTTAACAAGTGCCCCTGGAACTATGCTTGTTAGATGCAACACTTTCGTATTCATGTTTTCCTAAATTGCCATGATGTGCTTTGTAAGAAGGTGCACTGGCAGTCCTCGCATGATCTCATCTACGGCACGCATCCAAAAAAACACCCAACTTTTTCTCGCTCTAGGCATGCGTGTTGGCAGCAAAGATCTTGAGCAAGTTCAGCTGCAAGATCAAAACCTGGCCCGGGTCAGGTTTGTGGTCCAAGAGATTCCAAGAGTATACCGACATGTGCCATAACGCAGGCCTGTAACATTTGTAACCAAAACAATGTACGCCTGCGTAGGGCCATTCCAAGATAGCTCCATCGAACGGCCATTGCACCTGTGGAAAGATTTTTTGGAAGCGTCGTTCTCTCAACTGCGACCCCTTCAACCCACTGGCAATCAACTCAATAGATTCATTATGATTCATTGATTTTCCTCTACTTCTGTTCTTCCACTTCTGTCCAGCCTTTCTGAATTTTCACTCCACCTGTACATTCTTTCATGTTTCCTGTGCGGCTGAAGAAGATGTTTACATATTGACTGCTTCAGCCGCAGCTCTGACCTTGCAGAGAGTGGTGCTAGCTTTGCTTCCTCCACCTGTCCAAGCTCCGCTGTTCTTGAACTTGGAACAACTCGCTCTATTCAAAGAACACCAGGAACATGAGATGTTCAGAAGCATTTATTCAACGTGTTGGGCTTCGTGTTGCTATCTATGTGCCACACTATGTGCCACTAGTTTGTCTTCACGTTCGTCGTCCGCTCAAATCAAACAAAACGGGTCCAATATCCATCCGAATCTATCCTGCAAAGTGACTAAAGCGCCCCTGCAATATCTGGTAGTTCTTGCCAAGGGTTCATGCGGTGAAGAGATGCTCAGGGAAATAGGGAAAGGCACTTGCACAGCCAATGAAAAAGGAGTGACAGCACAAGGCAGGATGGATTCATGAAGCGGGTTTGTCTGAAAATCGGGTACGCTATCCCGGTTTATCGATGTTTATCGTCCTGTTCCCCATTGTTCAATGGCCATAAGTCGGCGTGCTTGACAGCACAAGCCAACTGCGCGCCTTGGCCTTCTTCTGGAGCATTTTCACAATGGTTGCTCTCTTCACAACTTCCTTAATTTCCGAATTTCACAGAAAATGCTCTTGGATTCACAATGGATCTAGGAAGATTAGGAAGTGAATCTGGGAAGTCTCCGAGTCATGGCTGAAATCAAGTGACTGCATGTGACTACTGTATTCTCTGCCATCCCGAATCGGAGAACTCTGCTTTCCCTGGTGTTTGAAGATAGTCCATCTGGGCAAGTTCCTGGTATCAGAAAGCCAAGGAACCTTTGAATGGGTCTTGGTTAGGACGCATTCGCCTGTCACTACACCAATACATCAATATGGAGTTCATGGGAGTCAGTTTTGAATTATATAATAATATAATCTTGAAAATACATTGCCACCAAACAAATAATTCAACTTCAAAGTACAGGGACATCACTGTCACTGTGATCATTAGGAGTAAATCCAATAGACTTCCTATTTCCAAGAGCTCAGCGCCTTCTGCTGCTGCCTCCAGCACAACGGTGCGTGCAGCTTGGAGTTCCCCGCTTGCAACGAAGTTTTGGAAATCTGGAGCCTGGGAAAGAATCGTTTCCAGATTTATCCCAAAATCGGGTACCTCAAAAATACGTGGGTTCTCTTTTCTCATAAAATTGGTATTTTCGAATACCCCGTTTCTGAACCCAGCAGTACTGAAGTGACTGTAGTGGCGCAAGGACCTTCACCCTGGAAAGTGGGAAGGATGTGCGTCATCCATCAACTCGATGCTATCAAGGCACCTTTTTCTCCATGTCCTGCCCAAGAATGACGCATACCGAGGCTTGATCGTGCGCATTAAAAAATAAAACATATTAAAAATCGAAATGCTTTCAATCTGTTGGATATGTTGGATAGATTGGCAGGTGGAAGCTTTTGTACCATCCTCAAACCAAGAATAACCAAGATACAACACGTGCTGTCAACAAAGTAGAGAAAAACCTTTTCTTTAGCTCGTGCAAACTCCACACTTCTGTGAAGCTCAATTACAGCCATGTCTGACAAGGCACTGCCACGGGCCTCCAGGCCCCTCCCTCTTTGGGCAAAATGGGCAAAGATGGGCAAGGCAAGTTTTCTGATTTCGGAATCCTCCCTCGGGGCCCGCCTCTGTCAAATTTGTGCTGTTCAGTGCCTTGCGTAAGGCTTCCTCAACAACTGTCTCTGTCGAACGCTGCTTGGACCTGTACCTCACGAAGGTCAACATCTAAACCATCGGGGGCGAAAATTGAAAACTTTGGCGAACATGAATCGCGCAACTATGCGTGGGTGTGTGTCCATGTATGTGTCAATACTGCTTACACCTCATTCAAACGCTGCAAGTACGGCTGTATGGATAAGTATCCAATATGGTCTTTCCTCGCAGAATCAAGACCTTTCCGATCAGATATGCACACAAGCACAGCAGCTAACTTATACCCATGAAGAATGCCTTCTTGGCATTGCCCAATCCACGACTCAGTTACCCCGAATCAATCCAAGAGACCAGTAGTACAAAAGTCCGCTAGTGACAGCTGCCGCACTTGCAATGGTTGTTTTTGGATTCTCGGTGACCCAGCCTTGAAAGTGGCAGTAAACAGCATAGGGTGGGTAAGGTGCGTGACACGCGCTGGAAATGTTACGGACAGCAATTTTACACAATGTCATCAAATGTTCATGTCTATAGCGTAATGTTAAGAGGGGAACACTTGAAGTTTCTGGAAATGGGGGTACCCCAAAATTGGATGGTGTAATATCTAAAACATTCTAAAACCATCATTTGGAAATGATTTTGGGGCGCCCCCATTAAGCAATACTTGGTACTGAAATCCAAGGAATCTTCACCATGCTCCGCTGAAGTCTCTTCAACCCAAGGTGCGATAGACCGTCCCCAAAGCATATTCTGCACGCTCGCCTGAAGTCAACACATCGGAGTTTTGTCGAAGCAGTTGAGATTGTTTCTATGGTTGTAACCATGGTCATTGCATGGTTTGCAACGGTTTGTAGATGGTTTTAGCTCCCATAAGTTGGATTTCTATAACATGAGATTACATGACATATAATTATTGACATATATTCACATATACCCCTACGTATAATCATGACCAAGTACTTGTTAAATGAATTCCATCGAGCCCTCAGCGTCACTAACATGAAGACTACAGTGACTAGTGGGCCAAGGTCACTTCTCACCCGCAGTTGGTGCGTGGCTGTGGAATATCTGGCAGTTCCCAAAAATTTCAGATGGTCGATTGCCCAGTTGGAAGTTGTGAATCTGTTCCCAGTGCATCCCATTGGGACCATTTCGCGCCTGGTGTCCCCCACCATTTCAAGTACCAGGGAAAAATCTTGTCAGCCGCCGTTCGAGCTATTGAGCCCTTTGCGGCAAAAAAGGCCTGTGCAGTGGCTGCAACTCAAATGAGTATGGTTCAAAAAAATATACCTCAAAACTTGAATGAGTAAATACTAAGGATTGCCAATTCCGTGGGTCCACTTCGTCCCGTTCTTATTTTGCACCCGGATTTCAACGCAAGTCTTTTCCAAGTCTCTCCAGACTGTCTTCCACTTAGGCAGTGGCCGCTTCTGTTACGTCCTCGGGCATGTACTTGCTGGAGTTGAAATCTGCTGACTTGACGTGGACAGGTCAAGTATCGATTTTGAATCAGGGCGTTCTGCTTTGCCTTTCTGCTCTTTTGGCCAAGCATCTGCATATATCCCGGTTTTCTCGTAACTCGCCTGAAAGCCAAGAGACCCACTTGCACACAATGGAAGAAACTTTCAAACTATTCTTGAAAGCAGAAAGTGGTGCGAGGCCGCATGACGGGGTTGGTGACACATCAAACGAGATCCCGGAGATTCTGTATGGTATTATACAATCGCTGGCAAATTAGAGATTGTAACACTCGAAATGGTTGCATTGGCTATCTGTGTATATTATATATATGGCACAGTCTTGTAGCAAATTTCTCGGGCACGTGAAATTTCAGGTGCCTTTCGACAAAATTCTGCACAGCCCTTCAAATTTAGGACGCTATGTGCGAATTCATGCGCGCACCACGTTCAAATGGAACGTGTTTGTAACGTACCTTTTTTGGAATTTGTACAAGACACCGATGCATGTTTGCAAAAGCATGTTGCACGTTTTGGCGCGCTTTTTGCACACCGATTTCTGCACGTTTTGCGAGTGGAGCTCGCCCAGCCATCCAGAGAAGTGTGCTTTGGGGATATACGTTCGCTTTTCTAACAAGAGTTTGTTTTCGCAACATCGCAATTTAAGTTCGAAATCTTGGAATTTACAAAAACTTCAGGTATGTTTCAAGGTCGAGGATATGGTCATATACATATTATACCATAGAGAGAGATACAGTACATATTGATGATTGATGTGTACATGCTTTGTATGCTTTGTAGGATAATCATTGAGACAACGTGCATAGTCTGTGTTATTATACTCTGCTTCAGAGCGCACCGCCCAGGCATGTTTCATCGACTTTCCGCACTTGAGACCCGGACATCCATTGAGCCAGAAAACGGATCATCCTGCAGGAGAGAACACACACAATCCAAGTGGATCTCAATATCTCTCAATGTCGATATCTCAAGAAAATCCTATAGGGTACCATCTGGCAATGAGGCAGTGGAAATCTGCTATCCATTTATACTAAGAATATATTACTGTAACATTACAGATCTAGATTGAATTCTAATGAATTCGTGTATGTTAACATAGATCTCTCAAAAAATGGGTGCTCCATGGTTTTCCTATTCAAAGTTGGGATGATCTTATGTTAGGTTCATGGTTGACGCAGGATGGCACCTGGAAAACTGGAACGAACGGATTCTTCCGCTCTGCTCCAGCCAGTCGGAACAGGTCTTCCCTTGGCGGAGTGGGTCAAGCCCTTGGGGTGGCCACACAAATAGATGGTCTAAATTTGGGTGGTTTGTTGTGTTTAACATTGCTTAACATTGCTGAACTCTTTTCAAATTTGGGGGCCCAAGAATTGATACCCAAATCTGTCTGCGAGCTCCGCGAACTTTGAAATTTTGGAAGCTTAGTGGTTGTTGTGGTGGTCGAGCAATATCACTGATGGTAAGAATCGCCACAGACACTGCCGGTGCATCACACAATGGTGTTACCCAAAACTGGGATCGTGATAGATCCCTCAAATCCCATGCTTCAGTTTGTGTTCCCCAGAAAAAATCAGCAACGCAGCTGGGTTTGATCATGTTTGATTCATTATATCCATTTGAATGGGGACCATTAGTTAAATCCACCAAAATTCCCATGTTAAATCCATTTGAATCCCCAATTTTTTGACCATCCAACCACCAACACTGCTGCTGAGTGTCTGCTCTACACGTGCTGCCTCCGAGGTTTCGAGCAGCACGAAGAGCCACCTGGGGGATTGAACCAAAATGAACCAACCATATGAAACATGGGATATAATATAATGGCATATATAAAGACATGTATATAATTATATATATAATTATATATATAACATATTATTATATTATAACATTACATCTAACATTATTCAAAAGTCTGGATGAAGGGTTTTCTACCTTCTCAATGGTATGTGCCTGTCTCAACCCTCCTCCCTGTATCAAAGGTGCTTTCTTTTTCCCCTCCTCAAAGGTCCTGGTTTCCCAACCGTATTCCTGGAAAACTTTCCCATGTTCGAAGGATGTCTCAAGGCCAAGTGTTTTCCCACAGTGAAGGTTCGCGCTCAAGGCTGCCAAAAAAATAAAAAATAAAATAAAATCCCGGAGACAAACCCATACCCCGGGGAAGAACACTTGCGACCGAACATTGCAAATATGCATAAAACATGCTATGTGTTTTTCTCAATGGTATGTGCCCGTCTTAATTTTTTTTGTTTTTATTTTTATTTTTATTTTTTCTCCCCGGAGGTCCCGGAGAGGAACCCTTGGAATTTCTTCCCCCGGAGGTCCCGTAGAGGAACCCTTGAAACCCTTTTGCTCGTTTTTTTCTCTTCGTCGTCTTTCGTCGTCCGTCGTGTTTCAATGGGGATCCTTGAGACAGACACTTGACCTGAGCAAGACCACAAACGAGAAAGTACCTTGGCGCAGACCTTCGAATTATATAACCAACTTCATATGAAATGGGTCAATCCAAAACATAGTATGTGTCAAAAGAATGCATTTGTCCTGTATGTGGACCATTATAGAGGTAATTGATTTTTGGGCAAACCCAAATTATCTAGTGCGGAAAGGAACGCAAAAAAAACGTAGCACTTCGTGTTGCAGTCTTGCATGTTTTAAAGTATTTTAAGTGCTATCAGAATCTATCAGACTTGTGAACAGCACCAGTCACAATGTTCTTTCAATTTCGCCCATGGCAGAGCTGAATATGCATCCAAGAGGCTTCACAAGAACCATGTTCATTTTGCAAACCACTGGCGAGCTTGAGCCGATTTCACGACTTCGGATCCGAAAGGATCGGATGGATACGACATGATATGACCGTACACAACTGTGACCATTGTGACCCCGGAAATCTTAGGCGAGAAATTGGGTGAAACATGGTGAAACCAAAGAGTAGTCATGGTTTATCTGAGTTTATCCAAGTTGATCCGTTTATCCTCAATTTCACAAGTGGAGAAGTTGTGCGGATCCCATCTGTATCCGTCAACTGACAACATCTCCATCCTCCCCCAATGCTGTGTGGAATAACCATTGCTCATCTAAAAAGTTTGTTATACATGTTCTTCATTGTTATTCTAGATTTAAATGTCTGCCTGGCAAGATCACCCGATCATGCTGCTCAGAAACAGCTCATAGATGAGGACAAAGTGCTTCCGCACCTTTCCACAGAAGGATTGCACTGTGATTGCTGTTGCCAAGACATGAACTTGCTGGCAGTGTACATTCTGTCGGTCTGGTTTTGCTGACTTCCCCGTTGAAAATTGTTCCTCAGCTTGCGGACATTTCCTCCAAAACACATATAATCCTCGTGCAGATTTACCCATGATATGAAGCAAAGACGCCGACCATCTCCCGCAGGTCTTTCAGTGTTCTTAGTAGTACCTCCTTTTTGCATGCTCGCTTTTGACGACGCTTGGTCGGTGCTTTTTTCAGAGGGACCCCCCACTTCACAGGCAGACCTGATTCTCATCAAATGAGCCGCCGAAGTAGGCCTGGCGCTGGCAAATCTGCACATATTTGCAGGTTTTTACAAGCTTCTAGATGTGAATGCCGCTGCTGCAGTGATTCTGTTGGTGATTCACGGTCAAAGCATCCTGCATGAAAGCAGGTGACACTTGGGCAATTAAATACGTGCACTTGACCGAAAGACTGTCTGCACCAAAACGATCTCAATTGGATTACAAAAAAAAAAGTGGTGATCATCATTAATCTGGGTACTCAGGTCGTGTCCCAAGCCCAGGCCTTGAAAAGGTCCACCATTTTGTACAAGAGTTTCAGGACCTTGCCGCATGATGCCTTTCTTTTACTTGGCAAATTCTTGCAGTGGAGCTGATTGGATGAGTTTGAGGCTGGCTTCGTGGCAAAAGCCGAACTAAGCTGCCGTTGTCCTCAGGGAGCGGCGAGCATGACATTAACATTGTCCTTGCTGGCAGCCACCAGGACGATGTCTCCCTGATGGCAACGGCAAAACGGGATCAACGGGTGGGCCCGGCATCGGCCCAGCCTGAGTGGTGTACAGGAAGTGTGAGCCATTGATGCTCACAACCGGTTTGTCCCTCGTCTCCTCCACAGCTTGGCGTAGCTTGGCTACAATGTCACATACTTTGGTTGGTCAAACCATGACAAAAATTGTGTACTCAAATAATATCAAATAATATTCCAACATCTCCCAACATGCTCAATTTACGTTACGTGTAGTCATTGCTGGTGTCGCTATAGCAGGATAGTTACCCTTGGTGGGTTTCGCCAAAAACAGGTACCCCAATATCCAATGGTTTGCCATCAAGAGTGCCACAACAAACGAGGCATACATCCCATAAAAATCGCTGCTTGGGTCCCCAGTGATTGCCGATGAACTCATCCATTTTTGAGTTAAATCCCACTCACCAGGGGAAACCCAAATGTTTCAAAACCGCCATAGTGCTGATCATCGCTACGTCCTTGGCTGCCACCACTTGACTGCAGAATGCTTGCCAATCGGCACGTGTCACATTTTCCTGCAGATAGGTGCGTTCATTGGAGATCTTGGAGAAGAATTATAGGGGGTTATAATTGAGGCCTGGACCCACAAGAGTTGGTCATGTCTATTATTGAATTTCCTCTCCGAGTGCAATTGATGCCCACCTGTGGAACCCATGTGTACACTGAAATGCGCTTACGACTTTCGATTCAGCCGTGAACTTAGAATAGCGTTTGGTGCTACATGCTACCATTTCGTATTCCCTACCCCGGGCAATGCTCAGAATCGCTTGTTCAATGCCGGCTCCTTGTATGCTCGCCAGATAAGGATTTCACCCTGAATGGGCCACGAGTCAAGTCAACTGAGTCAAGCCAAATATCCAAACAGCACCTTGAGGTTCACCAGCAGCACTGACGAAATCATCTGCTCCCAGGGAGCAACCTGTCTCTGAGCAAGGATTGGTGAGCAAAACCATCCATGACCTTTCACTTGCTCTTCCAAATTGGCCATTCCGACCATCAGCGGATCCGGCCTGGATCTATCCATACAGCTGAGGCCGCGGAGCAAGAAATGGCAGGCAAAGAAACTCCCATGACGCCACTCACTTCACCTCATGATGAAACAGGTATGCATGTTATCTGTGGTAGATAATTTATTAAATTATATATTATGTTATATTATATAAAATTATATATATTATATTATATTATATCATATAATATATTATGTACACGTATTCCGTATATATCATGTACTGTAGACACAGAGACTATGTATATATAATTAATCATATATATATATATGTGTGTGTTATACAACAACTATCCAGCACTATTGGATGACCCACCCAGCAGCCCAAAATAAGCAAAAGAGTTGTTTGACTGACAAGAGGTTGAACGCCTGTACGAATCATGGCCAATATTCTAAATATGTGATCTACGTGTCCAGCCCAAGCGCTGGGTAAATTGAAGAATTGGAGGGGACGAAAGGCATCCAGTGAAACCATCTTTGGCGCCACTTCAGTTGCCCGCGTCGAACAACGGCGCAGAATAGAACCTTTGAGAGTTGACTAATAAACTGAAACACTGAAACAATCCAAACCACACTTTAATGGAACCTTTGCCGTAGTCAACTTCTGGGCCTGTCATTGTGTGGGAGGAAGCCAACAATTTTATGCTATGACAGCAACTCCGGGCAAAGCTCCCCAAATCTGAACAGGGCACAGAAACAAGTAGAAGTGACCGTTCATCACCGTTTCAACTGTCAAATCCACACGTGCCAGTGTGCAAATGTTACAGGAGGAAGCTACGACTTCTTTGGGACAGGTTGTGTACTTGCAAGGCAAGTCTACAGCAAAATATACGTATAAGTATCCACTTTCTGCACTCGATCAAGACATGCGACGCTGGCTCATTTTCAGGCGCACAAGGGTGCTTGATTGTCTGCGCCCTGTTTGGAACCAAGAGCGCTATGGATTGGTTTCTTCGGTTTTGGCAATTTCGAATTTGTCGCAAAAAAAATGAAAATTGAACTTTTACAGGGCAGGACATCAAGACCCTTATACGAAGGCTGCCCGCTACTGGCACTACTGGCCTTCCACAGTCGCTCGCCCTTGGTACGAACAGCCTTCCTTTGGCCGAGGAATGCGAACACCTAGTTGCTCAAAAAACAAATGTGCTGACACTGTCGTGACGCCTATGCACACAAAGCGTCATGGCAAACTAATTAGGCGTCACGAAACCATGCTCCTCACTGAAACCATCTCTTGGTCTTGGCATGTCTTCGCAGATGCCTCACTCTCCGAGACGGCTACAGCATGGACCAATGGACCACAGCACCCCATGGCATCCCATGGCATGCCACGGCATCTCATGGCCATCACCCCTCGAGACCTCGGCATCAATGCGCTCGTGCCACTGCAGCACGCGGAGGAGGCCTTGATGTATGAACCTGGCCGTAGAATGCACAGGCACCAAGTTCAAATTATTCAATAATTACATGAAAAAAATACAGGACCGGAAAACCCCACAAGGCAACTTCTTCCAATAATGAGCACCAAATTAATGTTGTAGCGGTGACGGGGATGGAAGGAAAGACAAAGGAGGTGGTGGAGGATCGAGAAGTAAAACAAAGTTGTGTGTGACAAAGTTGTATGTGAAAGATGGTGTGTGACAAAGAAAGATGGTGTGTGTGTGTGTGACTGTGTGAAAGCTTTGTGTGAAAGAGAGCGTGTGACAAAATTGTGTGTGAAAGATGGTGTGACAAAGTGGTGTGTGAAAGATGGTGTGGCGAAAGATGGTGTGTGACAATGGTGTGTGTGTGAAAAATGGTGTGGTGAAAGATGGTGTGCGACAAAGTTGTGTGTGAAAGATGGTGTGGCGAAAGATGGTGTGTGACAATGGTGTGTGTGACAAAGATGGTGTGTGAAAGATGGTGTGCGACAAAGATGGTGTGTGAAAGATGGTGTGTCAAAGATGGTGTGTGACAAAATGGTGTGTGAAAGATGGTGTGGTGAAAGATGGTGTGTGACAAAGTGGTGTGTGAAGGATGGTGTGTGACAAAGTGGTGTGTGAAAGATTGTGACAAAGTGGTGTGAAACATGGTGTGTGAAAGATGGTCTGTGGCGGTGTGTGAAAGATGGTGTGTGAAAGATGGTGTTTGGCAATGTGGTGTGTCAAAGATGGTGTGTCAAAGATGGTGTGTGACAAAATGGTGTGTGAAAGATGGTGTGGTGAAAGATGGTGTGTGACAAAGTGGTGTGTGCAGGATGGTGTGTGACAAAGTGGTGTGTGAAAGATTGTGACAAAGTGGTGTGAAACATGGTGTGTGAAAGATGGTCTGTGACGGTGTGTGAAAGATGGTGTGTGAAAGATGGTGTTTGGCAATGTGGTGTGTCAAAGATGGTGTGTCAAAGATGGTGTGTCAAAGATGGTGGGTGACAAAGATGTTGTGTGAAAGATGGTGTGTGAAAGATGGTGTGTGACAAAGAGGTGTGTCAAATGTCAAAGATGGTGTGTGACAAAGTGGTGTGTGAAAGATGGCCTGTGAAAGATGGTGTTTGACAATGGGGTGTGTGAAAGATGGTGTGTGAAAAAGTGGTGTGTGAAAGGTGGTGTGGCGAAAGATGGTGTGTGAAAGATGGTGTGTGTGAAAGATGGTGTGTGAAAAAGTGGTGTGTGAAAGGTGGTGTGGCGAAAGATGGTGTGTGAAAGATGGTGTGTGTGAAAGATGGTGTGGTGAAAGATGGTGTGCGACAAAGTTGTGTGTGAAAGATGGTGTGGCGAAAGATGGTGTGTGACAATGGTGTGTGTGACAAAGATGGTGTGTGAAAGATGGTGTGCGACAAAGATGGTGTGTGAAAGATGGTGTGTCAAAGATGGTGTGTGACAAAATGGTGTGTGAAAGATGGTGTGGTGAAAGATGGTGTGTGACAAAGTGGTGTGTGAAGGATGGTGTGTGACAAAGTGGTGTGTGAAAGATTGTGACAAAGTGGTGTGAAACATGGTGTGTGAAAGATGGTCTGTGGCGGTGTGTGAAAGATGGTGTGTGAAAGATGGTGGGTGACAAAGTTGTGTGTGAAAGATGGTGGTTGGCAAAGATGTGTGTGAAAGACAGTGTGTGAAAGATGGTGTGTGTGTGTGAAAGATGGTGTGTGACAAAGATGGTGTGTGAAAGATGGTGTGTCAAAGATGTTGTGTGACAAAGAGGTGTGTCAAAGATGGTGTGGTGTGACAAAATGGTGTGTGAAAGATGGCCTGTGAAAGATGGTGTTTGACAATGGGGTGTGTGAAAGATGGTGTGTGACAAAGAGGTGTGTCAAAGATGGTGTGTGACAAAGTGGTGTGTGAAAGATGGCCTGTAAAAGATGGTGTTTGACAATGTGGTGTGTGAAAGATGGTTTTTGACAAAGTGGTGTGTGAAAGAGGGTGTGTCAAAGATGGTGTGTGAGAGATGGTGTGTGACAAAGTCGTGTGTCAAAGATGGTGTGTGAAAGATGTTGTGTGACAAAGTTGTGTGTGTGAACCGGCCCAATGCCATAAGTGCGCCACCAGAGCCAGCCCAGTGCCATAAGTGCAAGGCCTGCCACGCAAAACGAAGGTGGATGTGACCAAGGGCCACACCTGCCACGCGAGACGAAGGTGGATGTCACCAAGTGCCACGCCTGCCACTCAAAGCGCCGCGGCGTCACCGGCGACCAAACCCGGCCCAAGCGCGCCACCAGAGCCAGCCCAGTGCCCTAAGTGCCACGCCTGCCACGCAAAACGAAAGTAGATGTCACGAAGAGCCACCCCTGCCACGTGAAAAGAAGGCAGATGTCACCAAGCGCCACGCCTGCCACGTGAAAGGAAGGCAGATGTCGCCAAGTGCCACGCCTGCCACGCAAAGTGCCGCGGCGTCACCGGCGACCAAACCCGGCCCAAGCGCGCCACCAGAGCTAGCCCAGTGCCCTAAGCGCCACGCCTGCCACGCAAAACGAAAGTAGATGTCACGAAGTGCCCTGCCTGCCACGTGAAAGGAAGGCAGATGTCACCAAATGCCACGCATGCCACGCGAAACGAAGATAGATGTCAGCAAGTGCCACGCCTGTGCCACGCCTGCCACGTGAGAGATGGTGGTTGACAAAGATGTGTGTGACAGATGGTGTGTGACAAAGATGTGTGTGTGTGTGAGAGATGGTGGTTGACAAAGATGTGTGTGAAAGATGGTGTGTGAAAGATGATGGTTAACAAAGTTGTGTGTGAAAGATGGTGGTTGACAAAGATGTGTGTGAAAGATGGTGTGTGAAAGATGGTGGTTGACAAAGTATTGTGTGAAAGATGGTGGTTAACAAAGATGTGTGACAAAGATGTGTGTGAAAGATAGTGTGTGACAAACATGTGTGTGAGAGATGGTGGTTGACAAAGATGTGTGTGAAAGAGGGTGTGTGAAAGAGGGTGTGTGAAAGATGGTGGTTGACAAAGTTGTGTGTGAAAGATGGTGGTTGGCAAAGATGTGTGTGAAAGATAGTGTGTGAAAGATGATGTGTGACAAAGATATGTGTGTCAAAGATAGTGTGTGACAAAGATGTGTGTGTGTGTGTGAAAAATAGTGTGTGAAAGATGGTGGTTGACAAAGATCTGTGCGAAAGATAGTGTGTGACAAAGATGCGTGTGAGAGATGGTGGCTGACAAAGATGTGTGTGAAGATGGTGTGTGAAAGATGGTGGGTGACAAAGTTGTGTGAAAGATGGTGGTTGGCAAAGATGTGTGTGAAAGACAGTGTGTGAAAGATGGGGTGTGACAAAGATGTGTGTGAGAGATGGTGGTTGACAAAGTATTGTGTGAAAGATGGTGGTTGACAAAGATGTGTGTGATAGATAGTGTGTGACAAAGATGTGTGTGAGAGATGGTGGTTGACAAAGAGGAGGGGCGGAGGAGGAGTGGGCGGAGGAGGAGGAGCGGGAGGGATACAGAATCAAAAACAAGAACCCCACACAAAGATGTGGGGAAAAAACATATTATGAGAGTATAAGAGAGTATTAAATATAGATTTTAGATTGTACCTCATCAACTTGGCTGATTTTTCCTACCATCCATGGTCTGTAAAGTGTTTTCCATGCTGGGATCAATGCTTCTTCATGCATCTGCTATCTATTGCACAGGTGCAATCTCTCCGTCAATGGAATCTACATGTAGCTGACACGACAAAAGTCCACTCGAGGGCTGATGGAGTGGGGAACTTGACAGATTTGGGGAAGGTTGGTTGGAGACTACGTGAAAATTTGGCAGCATGTGATACCTTCGGAGGATGCTGTAGATGTATTCCTTTCAGTGTGGATGCTTGGACCTCTGATGCCAAGCCCCAAACACCCTGAACCCAAGATGACCGACCGACCTCCGACTTCACCAGGTTGGCGAAAGCTAGGGACCTGCGCGGTCGAAGAGACAGGATGAATCAAGGCAGCAATCGCAGCCAGTGGCGCCGATGTTTCGGGCTGGGCTCATAAAGGGTTGACTATCGAACATCACATTTGGTCTTCTATGACCTTTCATCCCCTTCAAAGACTCTCTTATATCCACTGTGAATTTGTACCACAGGAGAATGTCAATGTATGTCAATGTGAAATGCTGCACGCTCTTGCCTCAGCAAGCGTAGGGCAAGCTCCATGCAAGAGAGCCACTCTCCGAAAGTGATGTCCTTCGTGCAGAGACGGTAATGGCAGTGGATGTCAATTGCAAGGCAATGGTTTGTTTTTGGCAATAATATGTAATTATTATGTAATTATCATGTAATTATTATGTAATTATCGTGTAATTATCATGAAATTATCATGTAATTATCATGTAATTATCATGTAATTATTATGTAATTATCATGTAATTATCATGTAATTATTATGCAATTATCATGTAATTATGATGTAATTATCGTGTAATTATCATGAAATTATCATGTAATTATCATGTAATTATCATGTAATTATTATGTAATTATCATGTAATTATCATGTAATTATTATGTAATTCTCATGTAATTATTAAGTAATTATCGTGTAATTATCATGAAATTATCATGTAATTATCATGTAATTGTCATGTAATTATCATGTAATTATCATGTAATTATCATGTAATTATTATGTAATTATAGTGTAATTATCATGTAATTATCGTGTAATTATCATGTAGTTATCATGTAATTATCAGGTAATTATCAGGTAATTATCATGGAATTATCATGTCATTGTCATGTGATTTTTATGTGACTTTTATGCAATTATTATTGCATTATTATGTAATTATAGTGTAATTATCATGTAATTATCATGTAATTGTTATGTAGTTATTATGTAATTATCATGTAATTGTCATGTGATTCTTATGTGACTTTTATGCAATTATTATTGCATTATTATGTAATTATAGTGTAAGTATCATGTAATTATCATGTAATTATCATGTAACTACCATGTAATTATTATGTGATTATTTTTTGATTTTTATGTAATTATTATGTGATGTTTATGTGACTTTTATGAAATTATTATGTGATTGTTTTGTGACTTTTATGTAATTATTATGTAACTATTATGTAATTATTATGTAATTATTATGTAATTATTATGTAATTATTATGTAATTATCATGTAATTATTTTGTAATTATTTTGTAGTTATTGTATATATTATTTGTATCTGTGCTTTGGATTTTGTGCTTCTCTTTGTTTTTTCCTTGCTTCCAATTGCTTCCCTCTCGCATTCCACAATGATTCGGCTTCCTTTGCCACCCTGTTCTCAAAGTCGTAGATCTTGCTCATTCGTTCTTGCCTGCGACGTAGAAATGCGAGATGATGAGACCCTCCCACTCCACATACCGCAGCCATCCCCAGCCAACCGCAGCCAACTGTACTGATTCACAAGTTTAGACTGTGCATTCAGTCAACATCACTGTGGCTGCATCCAAATTAGAAAATGAAAATGCTTCATACCTGATGCTTGATGCTTGGTGGAGCTTAAAGCAAATTCCACGGGCATTCACTACCGAAGTCAAACATGATGGAATGGCAAAATGATGCGAGCGTTTCGAGTCAGTGGACCTCAGGACGGAGAAATCTCTTGACACGGCAATGTGATCTCAAGGAGTTGTGTCCGGTTGAGTCTTCTGAAGGGAAAGTTCTGGACCATTCAGCAATGTAGCAATCGGTACTAGTGCGCCAGTGCGCTGTTTTGATTCTATGTTCAGCGTAATCTCGGAGTTCTGAGGGCGCTTTTTCCTAACCGTCGAAGCCTTTTTCGCATTGCACTCGTTGTTTTTCTGCTGTAACTTATGATAAGGTAAGCTAGTGGACCAACAAACTAGCAAACACATGTTAAACACATCAGTTCCATGGTCAGCTAGAACGACCGCGAAATCACACCCTTCTCGATCCCCCGTACAAGAGGGGATGAAACACAGGCCCTTGCACTTCTGCACGTCGAGAAAGCTAGCGATAAGGCTGGCCTCGCACCAATGCTGAACACTTCAGCAAAGAGCATCGGCACAATTGAGAATCTAGCCTAAAAATCATGATTGAAGTGATGTGTGGATGGCAACGATGGTGCACAGCGTTTGCTGCGATCCTGTCCAACATCTTCCCATCCGATTTTATGTACTAAACACAACGAAGAAATAGGTGCCAGCTGCGACGCTGACAGGTCTTGCACTATCTCTCCAAGGTTTTCAGAAGAAAACCCTTGCCTACAAACAAAGAGAGCCTGTCAGTAGCACAGATTTGTTTCAGCCAAAGAATGAACATGCTGTACCAATCACCAATTTACCAAAAATCAATCATCACACATCCACGTTCTGCTTGAAAAATATTGACAGATTTTGAAGGCTAGATCTAGGGCATCTAGGGGATCTTGGGGACCCCAGCCGTCGCACTTCGCCACACGGGCTTTGAAGATGTAGTGACCTTGGCAAACCCAGGGAGGGCGACAAGGCAGAATTTAGAAACAGTACATACCAGTCATAAGCTACGTATCATGGAATTGTGTCAGATTCCAACAAGCTGAATGATGTCTGGGATTCTGGTCACGCTATTCACACCGCATATCACATAGCAATATGTATATATATATAGTAATACATGTGTAATTATATATGTGTGTGTGTGTTGTATGTATGTATATATATATATGTATATACGTATATACACACACACATATAGTACATGTGTGTGTTCTGTAACAGTGCTTCTCTGAGTCACAGGCAAGGCAATCGATGACTGCACCCAATGAAGCACCACCCACCGCCTCTGTGCAGGAACAAATGGAATAAAATGGTTAAACGGGAAAATGGACACAACATGACACAACTATGGATCAACTATGCATATGTATATATATATGATACAACATGATATGGCACATATATATATGTATATATAATTATATATATTATGGTGTATATATATAATATATAATATTCATTGTATATGTACGTGTAGTATATGTTGTACGTGACTGTACGTGTTGCACTTAATGATATGGAGTCAGGCCAGCTAGGTCCGTGCGGCTGCCTACTGTGTTTTCATGCCACATTCAAAGCAGGCATATCTTGGGAGGTTTGTTCCAGCGTGTCATGGTATGATTGGTTCTTCCCAACCTAAGCACACGCTGAGGAGCAAATCAAGATTCTCCCAAATATGGAATTCCTGTTCCATTTTGCCTGTGAACACTCCATACACCTTCAATGCTAGTGCAAACCGGCAAATGTATTGCCTAGGTGCTTATAAGTGGCAGGAGAGGGCTACAGAAGCATTCAGAAGCAAAATGAACATGAATGAATTTGCAATTGTGACTTTGATGACAATTTGAATTCTTGCTTGATTTCATTGCGTTACATTGCAGTGCGATGAAATCTTATGAATGTTGAATGATTTTGAAACATTTTAAAACTACATTACATGCGTCAAGTGTTGTATTTCTTGCACGCACACACACACATGGATCTTCTACAACGTGCAAGCTACAGCCATTGCATAAGTATCACAGGGCTCATCATGGTCTGCTTCTGCTACTCTGTACCCTCTCTCATGCGGCACCTCTGGGTGATATAGCTCTATTCTGACTGGCGCTTGCCTCACAAAATCAGGCACAAGTTTGTCAAATCACCTTCGATACAAGTAGAAGAATAAGAAGCTGAGTAGCAAACAGGCATGGATCTATGTCTATAATTTCATGATATTAAAATATTATATAAATCCATGATGATCCATGAGATTACAGATATGTTGGGATCAGTAAAACAGCTCGGATCTTCATATGGCCTCGAGGGTGGCCCGATGGTTGCACTGAGCACACCATTTTCGGGGCCTCTCAGAATCGTTTCGAAAGACGTTTCGTGTGCACCTGAACTGTCTTGAAGATAAATCAAATAAATATTCACATTGATTTCACATTGATTTCATAGATGAGCAATTTTGGCCGACTCGTCTGCCTTGGGACTATGTTGGAACTTGAAATTTCCAGATGAGGTCCTCCACCACCTAAGGTCCTCACTGATTTTGGCCCAGGAACCTGGCAGATCGTGTCCATCCCTTTGGGATGTAGAATCATCATGAATCATCTTTGCAAACTAAAAACACCTTTATACATTTTCTAACTTGAGCATTTCAAGACCCCAAGAGGGAGAATGCTGGAGAACTTGATAAGCAAGTAAAATTATCCCGGCAAGAGACCCCAAACAGTGTGGGGGGAGTGGGAAGATAATGCAGGATAAAGTTGATGATGATGATGATGATGGTGGTGATGAGGAGGAGGAGGATGATGATGATGATGTTGCGGACGATGATGTTGTGCGAGCCTGCGCAATTGAAACGCATGTCAAGATTCCACAAGAGCCACTTTATACGGAAATTTACAGATAAAAAAAACGCAGACCAGAACCGCGACCCACACTTTGTGCGAGCCTGCGCAGTCGAAACGCATGTCAAGATTTCACAAGAGCCACTTTATACGGAAATTTAAAGGAAAAACGCCGCAGACCAAAATGAGCCCAGAACGCAGACGAACACTTTGTGCGAGCCTGCGCAGTCGAAACGCATGTCAAGATTTCACAAGAGCCACTTTATACGGAAATTTACAGGAAAAACGCCGCAGACCAAAATGAGCCCAGAACGCAGACGAACACTTTGTGCGAGCCTGCGCAGTCGAAACGCATGTCAAGATTTCACAAGAGCCACTATATACGGAAATTTACAGGAAAAATGCCGCGCCCAAGAGTGAGCACCCTGATCAAGCACCGGCCTTTACACTTACCGTAAGAACCCCTCAGTGTGGACACCCTGTTTGGGGAAAAAAGGATATGTGCAGATGAACTTGAAACTGACGCAAGCCAAGCCACGTGCTGACGAGTCTGGTGAGAGTAGATAGCGGACTGGCCTGGGATCAACACCAAACATATACAACCTGAACCTGCCCTGTATCAATCCATGTTACGTGTCAGTACTCATCCTGTGCACAATCCTCCTGCTTTTTTCTGGTTCACCTCATCTGGGTTTTAATGCACACAGATGAAACAGCAAACAATGAAAGTCCCTTGCGCATAGTCTTCTCCGGGCTTCATAAAGGCCAGCGACGGTATTCGCACCTCAAGATCAATTGAGGTGAGCACAAGCTGGTGAGATCAGCTTCAAAGTTCGACTTCAATGACTTCAGGGCTGGAAGGGATGGCATCAGATAAAGAAACATGAAGAAACACTGTCTTGGCCTTCCAGGTCTCATAATGCCATCTTGCTATGGAATTTGGCAAAAACGGTGGGTTGATTTCGCTCGAGATAGACCACTTTCTCAACTGATCCTTGAAACTGGCAATATCTGCTATCAGGAGTAAAGAGTGCCAGCTTGAGGTTGCTGGAAATACTCTGCGTGTGTGTGTGTATGTGCATTTTGAAACTAAAGGAATAATGCTTGCAAACCTTGGGACTAAAACGCGCATCCTGGCACAGCCCACCTCATCATTTGTATCCATGAGAGCATCCAATGGCAAATCCTCTCAAGGCAACTCACAGGATTTGTTTGGCACCTCCCTCTATTTGCTTCCAGATTATGCACAGTAGATCCAGATTCTAGTTATCAGCGATGCAAGGTGAAATCACTTTGCTTGTTTTGAGGCCAAGTACTCAGCCAAAGGGGAAATGTTCCCTTCAAGTCTTAGAAAGAGCAAGTCAGCTGTGTATTTCGTCCTTGAGAGCCTTGTGGATCTGGGTTTCAACCTCTTTGGCCAAATAGAGGGCAGCTTTGGATTGAGTGTCTTCAGCCTCAGGCTTGAAGTGCAGCGTTCTTGAAGGCACTCCCAATACAAACCTTTCCAGAAGAACCATTTGGGTTTGTCTGAAAATGGGGTACCACAAAATCCAGTTGATCAACATTTCCATGCATGTCCCCCATTAAATGATGTCAAATTAATTCAAACTGCCCTGTGACTTGAGTTGCTATGGTTGCTACATCCCATTTTCCAGCACCAAATCCATCCATTTTTAGGGCCACCGGATGGTTCTGCACACTCTCAAGGTAGGCCTGTTTGCTCACCTGGAAATGCTCGAAATGCTCACTGGAAACTAAAGCCAGAAGTCACGTGGCGTGAGACACAGCGTATCACAGCGTACAGCGTGCCTGGCCACGGCGCCGGACCCAGCGATTCTGTGCCTCGTGGTGATGCTGGGTTTTGGGGCACGCTGATAACCTTTGGTCTTGAGATGTCTTGAGCCTTCTTGGGTCCAAAATGGATTCTTTTGGTTGATGTAGATTGGAAGCTGCATAAAGATTGAGAAGGGAAACTCGAAAGTCTTAAGGTGTGTGCTATCTTATTCGGCGCTGTCCACTTAGACTTTATTAGACTAGTCAGAGATCACACAATCTGACTGTCAGCCACGCCTGAGCTGTTGTGGCACTTGCGACTCAGGGTTGCTGATGTTGCCGTTATACATCGTTACATCATGTTATATCTATATACATATTTTTGGAAAAGCCCCGAAAGTCGTAGGAAGTCGGCCAGGGATCGTACAGAAAATGTCTCGATCATCTTCAGCGCGTCAGCTGCCCGTTGAGGCCCCTGAGGATCCTGAAAACACTTCGCATCACCATGGTGAAAGCATCCGAAAGTATCGGAACTGTGCAAGACTGCAAAACAAACAACTATTGCAACCCTATGATGGCAGCAATGGCAGCACGTCAAGTTACAAAATCAGATGCCCTTCAAATCCCTTCAAATCCCTTCAAATCCCTTCAATGCCTGCTCTAACCAGCTCTTGCTCGTCTCCCAGGGCTTTTGACCCCGTTGGTCGTCCTTGCTACAAAATTCAATCTTCGAAGCGTACATGGTTGTAATATGTTGTAATGACCTACTGTGGGAGGGGGCATTAGGGTCTGTGACCTGGGCCGTCCTTTCAGAGTCTACAACTCAAGCTGTTTTACATCAACCCATCCACCCATTCACCCACCCTTGCGTCTATGCTGCAGCCAGCAGGCCATGCAGTCACATTTCGCATAGCAAAAGCCTGCATGAAAACATAGGTGAAAAAGGAACGAAGGACGACCAGGGGAGGATGAAGTAAAAGGAGTTTGCATCAGCAAATCAAGAATTCAACATTGGACGAGAGCAAGAAAACACAAGAAAACACCAAAATGAAACAACGAGAAACGAAACCAGTGGTGGTAATTACAAGATAAAAGGTTTATACCCTTGTACAACACATCCAGATTATGTCACAAGTGGATTGGCCCCGGGGAAGGAACAAAGGGATTCAATCATCACTGAAGTCGGGCCTGGAGGACCAGCCACGCCAAAGCCTGGAGGGTATTCCTGGGAACAAGAGCAGAGTAGCGGCCGCAACTCTTGTTGCAAATCACCTTTCCTAATTACCAGTTCTGTGCATATAAATGTTGCGCACAAAGATCGCATGTCTTGCGTCAAAATCACCATAGTTAGGCATGCAGGAGTTGTAGATGTTGTAATCAATGCCAAGAGCAATTTCAGCATCATGATCCTTGCACACCTTGAACATACCACACATGTATACATCAACAGCTTTGGGCTTCCCACCTCAGGTCTGCGAGGCCAGCCCATGCGGATGGTATCTGCCAGTTGATATCAGTTGAGGGGATCAGTTCGGCAACTGCAAAAGCAAACTGCAAAATGATGCAACAGGCAAAACAGTTTCCTCAAATAATGTTCAATCATGGTCAATCTACAAAACCCCAAAGGCTTTAAAGCGAATTCCATTCAATGGAATTCATGGTGAGTTGCGGCTTGCAAGCAAAGAACCAACAGGCAGGAACATCAGTTTGTACGATACAACATCGCTGATGAATCAAACGCCACATTGCTGAGCTGTTGAGTCAGTTTTTTTTAAGTTCCACTCTCGAATTCTCTCCGGGCACTCTCCTGAATACAGTAACGCCATCAACAATGATGGCATGGTGTTTGAGCACCCCACCATTTCGATCGTCCAAAGGATCAGGTTTGAAGTCATGGCCAAAGCTCAATCGAAACCTGAAGAATCTGGAGGGGCATTCAAACACAAAGCAATGACGTGACAACTTGTGGTGACTTGTTCGCCAAGCTTCAAACACATCGCGAATCAGCGGCTTGCCGTCTCGCCTGACATGAATGAACAAATGCACAAGGGCAACACCAGCAACAATTGAATACAATTGATACAAATACCAGAAGCCCAACTTGTATGACCACTTGTTAGCAAGGGCGCTTCAGCACACTTGAAGCAATAATTTGCAATCAAAACGCGCAACCTTTATCGAACAACAAACAATTGAAGAGCATTCAAAAAAACCTGCGAATCAGGTTGCCACTCATGCAAAACGGATCTACTGTAAACGGTTCAAATTTTCACGCAGTGGTCCAGGGCTTTCGTGCTGGAATTGGCCTGAACCTGCTCATCTTTGCGGGCGGCTCAGGAACCTGCCACTTGGTCGATGTCAGATCAAGTAGCAACTCCCGCATTTTTTTCACTCGCTGGCCGCTGGCCTCAATTTCCTTCCTTTTCCCAGCCTTCGGAGAGTTCGAAAACCATAAGACTGCAGGTCCCACACTGGAAAAAGAAAACAAAAACAAACTGCAAAACCGTTCAAAAATGCGCTCACCCTTGGATATCTTGGATCTTCAATGGTATTAAATGGTCAATAATTTGTGCACATCATGCTTCCTGGGCCCTGTCTGATGATCGACATGGCCAACTTCATACCTTGCGATCCGCAGCTTCCTCGGCTTTCGCCAATTCCTCTTTGGCCTCCTGGACTCGGCAATGATTCATTTACCATGGACCATCCAAAATGTGGCCTTTTCTGGCAATGTTTTTTGCAACATGACGAACAATGATATGTATATTAATGGCGTTTCCCCCGACAATCCGTTGGTTGAACCCTTTGAATGATCAACATCTGCATCTTTACAAACATGGCCTGCAATTCAACGGTGGATGTGGTTTTGGTCCATCCGATTGCCTGATCTTTTCGCTGTGTTATCCAGGTCTTCTTTTCACGAAGCCGGAAACCCTCAGCAGCCATTTAGGAGTGGAGAAAAAGCACATAGTTTCGCACAATTTGGTTTGTCTTTATTGAATTCAATTCTCTGAGTGGACCACATCTAGGTGGGGAGGCAGGCATTCATCTGGTTCCCAAGTAGAACCTGCAGAAGTTTGAGGGGTGCTGCGTCTTCACAGGCAAATTGTTCATCATTGTTCTCTGGTTGCGGCGATGGTTAGAAAAAAATCTTGCATCATGGAATACAACGCTGCATCAAGTGTTCTTGCGTCGCTAGAACCAACTTCAACATGTATCCTCATATTATGTGCGTGCCAGTGCGTGTGCATTATTCTGAATTTATGTATGGGATTGGTGTGCATCAGGAGCCAGTCCTTCTGTGCTCCTTTCATCATACATTTGTGGAACCATTCGAAGAAATATCCACCAGCTTTGCTAAGTAAGTGCCTGGATCAGAGCAGCCATTCTCCACATTCGAAAAGTCCGTCTCCTCGAAGTTCTCCCATCTCACCTTTAACTTTACAGGTTTATTCGATGTGCTCAAACTGATGTTGTGTTGTGGCTGCATCATGCTGCCTCCGACTTCTTGGTGTTCAAAGAAGTCTAACGTACGTTGTATGTGGTTTTCTGAGTTTTGAAGTGTTGCCAAACCACGAAAAAAACCACATCGCCTACCAGTGTGAAGTTTTGAAGGATACAGTATGTCTTGTCAAGACCAGGGGTTGCCCCATTCGAGCGTTCCATCTATGTAGGTTCTCACTATTTGGATTTGTCGACATGACCCGATTGCTGGAGGGCAAAGATCGCCTTGTAGAACTCCTGGTACAGGCCGCAGCGCCTTAGGATGACCACCAGTGAGCCTGAACACCGACCGTTGCACCGTTGCACCAACGGTGCTTTCTTTCCTGCTCAGCTGCACGCTGATTGCAGAACGCTTCCCAAGGTGGCCTGGCACTGGGGTCTGAGTCACAACCATCCACACGACTGCTACGAAGCATGTCCTTGGAACCCTCTGGTTGCGGATGATCCAAGTGATTGGGTAGGAATATAAGGAATGAAGTGTTTGGGTTGCAATGGAGAATATAAGGGTTCATATCTATATATATATATAGATAGATATCCATACCATACCATACCATACCATACCATACACACATACACAAATACAAACATCCACGCATGCATGCATACATACATACATACATCAATGCATGCATGCATGCATGCATGCAAAAATACATACAAACATAAATCCACCCATACATACATGCATGCATGCATACATACATACATGCATGCAGACATACATACATGCATACATATATACATGCATGCATACATACCATAACATACCATTACATACCATTACATACCATTAAATACCTTTACATACCTTTACATACCATTACATACCATTACGTACCATTGCATACCATTGCATGCCATTGCATACCATTACATACCTTTACATACCTTTACATATATTACATGCATTACATACATTACATACATTACATACATTACATACATTACATACATTACATGCATTACATGCATTACATACATAACATACATAACATACATTACATACATTACATACATTACATGCATTACATGCAATACATGCATTACATGCATTACATACATTACATACATTACATACATTACATACATTACATACATTACATACATTACATACATTACATACATTACATACATAACATACATAACATACATAACATACATTACATACATTACATGCATTACATGCATTACATGCATTACATGCATTACATGCATTACATGCATTACATGCATGCTACATACATACATTACATTACATTACATTACATTAGATTAGATTAGATTACATTACATTACATTACATACATTACATACATTACATACATTACATACATTACATACATTACATACATGACATACATTACATACATTACATTACATTACATTACATTACATTACATTACATTACATTACATTACATTACATTACATACATACATTACATACATTACATACATTACATACATTACATTACATTACATTACATTACATTACATTACATTACATACATTACATACATTACATACATTACATACATACATACATACATTACATACATTACATACAGTACATACATTACATACATTACATACATTACATACATTACATACATTACATACATTACATACATTACATACATTACATACATTACATACATTACATACGTTACATACATTACATACGTTACATACATTACATACATTACATACATTACATACATTACATACATTACATACATTACATACATTACATACATTACATACATTACATACATTACTACATTACATACATTACATACATTACATACATTACATACATTACATACATTACATACATTACATACATTACATACATACATACATACATACATACATACATACATACATACACACATACATACACATACATACATACATACATACATACATACATACATACATACATTACATTACATTACATTACATACATACATACATACATACATACATACATACACACATACATACATACATACATACATATATATAGATACATATACATATACATATATATATATACATATACATATACATATATATATATTTGTATGCATATATATTTATATACATACATATATTATTATATGTGTACATATAATATATATATATATATGCATATACACATACTCATACAATATATATATATAATTTATAAACACACATATTTGACAAGGGTTCCACCAAGGCACATGTAACCCAGAATGTCCTTAACCTTCCAGAAGCCATCCAATGGATCTTCCTGCAAAGTGGTGTTGAGCCGGGCGAACACAAGACTGAAGTAAGGCATCAAACAAGGGAGGGGCAAAGACTTTCTGCACGGCACACACATCATGCTAATGAGATCCAAAACTGAAGCCACCTGGAACCCCCACCCAACATGCAAACTTTGCAAACATGAAGACACAGACAAACATGTAGACTATGGAACATGATGAAACATGTGGGTGTCAGCTTCTCTCACGGAGCCGTTTAAAAAGCCAGACCTAGTATCAAGCTACGCATCCACGCGAACAGGATGCAAACAGGAGGCAAACAGGTATTCCTGACATCAAATTTTCCCAGACCCAGACATTCCTCAGACCCCATGCGTTCTGCCAGCCTCGTCAGGTTTGTCATCTGGATTCCTCAGATGTTTCGGTTTACAAATCGCAATGAAAGTCAGCGCTTCAGCAGTGCTCTTCCTCTGATGTTCCAAGCACTAGATGCGTGAGACCAACTAGCGATAGCTTGTGATTTAATGACAACGTTTAATCTCAGTAAAATTCAGAGTTTAAAGTTCTCCAGTCTCGCATCATTTCTGGCCAAGGAAAAAAAACAAGAAAAAAGTCCAAGCCATGCGACTTGGACCACCGTGAACCATACAGCCCTTCTTCCCGTCTTTGATATGCAGGCAGGAAGTCGAAGCAACATCTTTCAAAACCGATTTTACTGTTGGAATTCAGCTTGGCAGTAAGCCCAGCTGAGGCACGAGGCCCAGACAGCGAATCTCTTCGAAAGTTGTGCTCTTGGTCGTTGTGGTCAATGTAACTCGCACCTTCACCGTTGTGAACTGCTGTCAAAGCCAAATGGCAGCTCTGTCTGACATCCTGCAACTTCTAACACCCCAAAATGTCTGGCACTTTGGCCTGGGCACACCATCTATACAGCCAGGCGCGGCTCATGAGGAGCACCATAACAAAAACATACGAAAAGTCACCGATCCGTGCCTGTCACGGCTTGCTGCAGCAGTTTTTTCTCAACGTACACACTGCTCGCCAAGATGAAGAACCTGGGCTCGGTTGTTTCCGACATATAGATATATGCACGTATATGTTCATACGTGTCTATATAATTCTATATAAAGTACATACATATATTGTGTATATTATATATATATATATCTGTATGCATGTACATATACATATACACATAAATAATCATAAATATATATATAAATATATAAATAAATAAATAAATAGATACACGTCTATATAACTCAATATTTAGATATATCATGAAATATTATATATATATAATTATATAATTATATCCGCTGACCCCTGCCGACAGCAGGGGGGAGCAATTACACGCAGCAAGTCGTACACGCAGCAAGTGCCAAAGTGCCGACGCAAAAGCAAAAAAGTTAAGCAAATTTAGAGAAAAGGAAAAGGAGAAAGCAATCAAGCGGCACGAGCAAGAAGCAAGTAAGGAAGAAACAGAAGAAGAGGAAGAAAACAATAGACAGGAAGAAGCAAGAAGCAAGAGGCAAAAGAAAGAAGGGGCGGGAGCAAGCTGCGCAAGCAAGAAGCAAGCAAGGAAAAAGCAGAAGAAGAAGAAGAAGACGATGAAGCAATTACATGCAGCAAGTCGTACACGCAGCAAGTTGGAAGCTGGCAGTGCAGGAAGGCAAGCAAATTGAAGTTTGAAGCTACGTAGTTTCTAGGCGGTTCAGAAAGCAACGTTTGGCACTATGGGCTGCCGGCCGCAGGCTCGATCCGTCCTTCGCCACATAGCTGCAACCTGGCCTCAAGATGGGCCCAACATAGCCTCAAGACGGCCCAAACTTGCCCTCCCCATGGGTGGGCCCCTGGCCGGCTGTTGGGCGTGAGCCCTTAAATATTACATTATGCATATGTCCTATGCCTGACATTGCTTCAGAGCTAGCCGCTAGGATATGATTTCTTGGCGATTCAAATGGAGATAAAGAAAATATGGTCATGTAACAGCTGTGAGTGCAAATCGATGAGTTTGGGACTTGCTGCGCTTTGAGCGTTCCTGTAAGATTCCCGCGAAGAAAGGTCACCCATCACCCAGCCCTCCCTTCTTTCACAGAAAGAACTGATGTGCCAAAGCAAGCGAATGCCTGTCCCCTTTGACAGACAGTTTTGAAATTTTACTGCACCTTGGAAAACCGCACAGAGCAAACCTACAATGTGAATGTGAATCAATGTGAATCAATGTGGCCATGACAAGGCAGGTCGTGGCAGGTCTTCCCCGCTGCCCAAGGAATCCCAAAGAACACCTGCTCCAAGATTTCTCGTAAACGTTCCGTGAACCAGGGAACGTTCCCTGCTGATGCCTCACAGTTGCACACGTCGTATAGATACAATTCCCATGGCGCGAAGGACAAACGCAACAAATCTGCATGACTTTCGGCTATCCCCACAGCACCATTGGCGAAGGTAGCATCTGGACATATCTGAATCTGGACTATGGTTTTCAGTCAGTTCCCAAGGTTGCAAGTGTTTCGGCAACGCTGCCTCGATCTGCTGGAGAATCAACAGACCTCACGGACTGAGGTGCCAAGTTTCCCACCCACTCTGCTTGGTTTGACAAGAGTCTCCCATATCAATCGACCTTCATGATTGTGGCAGAGAAGCCTTGAGAAACTGTGACGGTGATAAATCCTGTCCCTAGAAGTTTGTCAAAGGAATTAGGCGTCTCGCCTTCGTACCATGGAAGCACCCGATTCGTTGGAACCTGGAAACGGAAAAGCAAAGACAGCCTGTTGCTAAAAATAGAGGGAAAAAAAACGTATTCAACCGAAAGTCTCAGTCATCTTTGCCAATTATACAAAAACACATCAAAACTACCAACATCTGACACGCACCTCGTGCGTCTTGCCATCTTCTCTTGCAATCATCGACAGGCCACCTTTCCGATCCAAGAGCGTCGCCTGGGTGGCTCCAAGGTGAAATTGACAAAAAATGTCAGGAAACCGGATGCAACCGGGTTTACAAGACTGACATGTTTTTTGTAGAAACCATGGAAAATCATGGAAACAAAAAAGAACAAAGCATTCTTATTTTATTCTTTTGGGGGATCGATAAGTTTTGAGCCATAACCTCATAGACAATAAGCCCAATCCCTTTTCTTTCATCAGCTCAATGTACTGCATATTCTGCCAGCATCTTGCTAGTTCATCAACAACATACGTTTGCACCAAGGCACCAAGGGAAGATTGACTGGCAAACAGCTTGCAAGACAACAAAACAAGTGCGATATGTATCGCTTCCACTCAGCTTGCCACTCGTGAGATCTTTGCCAGTCGGGGCCTCTCCCGTTGGAACATTATCCCAACTGTAAGAGTATAATCTGTAAATGGTAGAAGCCATTTCAAAATTCTAAAGTGATGTTGAAAGCTCCCGAAAATGAGACACGTGGATTGAACAACATCGAGAAAGCAGATCTCAACGCGGTTCTTTCGAAGGCACGTCTGAAAGTCCGACACATGCCATCAGTATCGGCTAGCTAGTCCCTGACCCGAAGATCTTGTCAAAGAAGAAGGCGTTGCTCGCCTCGAGAAACTCAAATGGCTGATTTATATGTGTTCTCGAACCAGAAGGCTTCGCAAGTCTACTGTGGTATCTGTCAAACATTTCTCAACCTTCAACGTGACAGCTTTGCTTTGGGATGCTTTGCGGCAGTCCATAGGGACGTAGCTTGCAATCGCAAAAGGACTGGAAGCATTGCAGGGCTACATGCTGAAACCTTTGGGATCCTTTGGGATCTAATTCGCTCAGCGTCTTCAAAACCTCTGAGAGAAGGAAGACGAAAGAAGTGCCCAGTGCGTGCCTGCGTACTTGTTGGGAGCTCGCCAGGATGTTGGAACTCACCATCCACTGGATCCCAGACCCAGATGTCCTGAACCTGTCAGCGATGAACCAATCGTGTGTCACAGCTGGCCTCATTTCAGTGGCATGATGGTTGGGTCCGAAATCTCTCACGGGTGGTCTGACAGCTGAGTGGAGTATTGTCTTTGACCAACATGTTTTGAAAACATGAACAAAACTGCCGCCTTGTTCGCCATGTTTGCAGCTTCAGCTTCAGCTCAAGTCGGCATCTGACCAGTTTCAAGTTATTTCTGCTATGTCCAGTGGTTGCAACTCGCTCAGGGGCTGGAAAGTGCTGAGATTTGCAGCTCAAAAGCCCACATGATGACGGAGCTGTTGCCAACACCCCTAGTGGCGTGGGCTAAGTATGGCTGGGCTAAGTATGCGTAGATAGTGTGTAACCTGTGTAACCAGACCTGCGATATCTTGAGACTGTGGCGTGGTGCCTATATTTCTCCGCCTGTCCGAGCCATGACATCCTGACCATCTTTTGGGTGGACACCGCCTGGACACCCTTCGACAACGGAGGTATCAGCTATCAGGATCGTATCCAGGGAGGCCAACATGAAATTGTCATTCAAAAGGCATCAAGGAGTGGTGTTTGGGCAAGGAAGAGCCACTCAACTCACTCACTCCAAAAACCAAATCTGTCTACGTCACTGTGTAGCCAAAGGCATGCTGATTCCATCAATAAGTTGACAGACAGAGAAATCAATTATGCTGCAGATGTATTATTGTGTATCATGTCTATCACGTGCTGTTCATATCTTTCTATAAGGCATATCCAATGTTTCCGGCTATGGGGTCGGTCACTCCACGCCCTTGCGCCCGTTTTCACAGCCAACTTTCAAGGCCATGAGGTAATGAACAGCGATTCACAGACACCAAACGGGGCAACCACCAAACGCTCTCCCCACTACAAATGGGGCACTGAACGTACTGACTTTCGTCCTACAATTACTACAATGCTTAAAAAAACACACCAACACAAAGAAGAAGAATGGAGGGTCTGCTTCAACCAGCATCAAAGAGACCATCTGCTGACAGCATATTGTTGCCCTTTCCAATGGCTGCACACACAGGTGGCCTCACTACTATCCAAGCATTTCCCTGGGCGGTGGATTGAGCGAAATTCCAGCCAATTTCAGCCACTGGCACAGATCAGACGAAAATGAACACCCAGAAACTACGAAGACTGAATACAGACTCTACCGCCTTCAACAGGAGGGTCAAACCCCGCTAGACCTACTCTTCCATTAAGACTCTGGGAACGAACTGCATGTCTTGTTACAAAAGGCAAACTGTTCACTGTTCACATCAACAAGGAAAACCGATTTTTGGTAGGGAGCAAACATCTTATATCATAGCCATGTGTCCCCGCGGCTAGTGGCTGGACGTGGGCAACTTTGGCTCAGTCGGCACGTATCTTCTCAAGCTTGTCTCCTGCGATCTCCAAACGCTGGGTCAAGAGCGGTACCAAACTTTGGTATCGTTGATTTCCACCGTCCTTGGAAGAAAAACTGGGGAAAATGGTGAATGAGGGGTTCCTCCAGCAAGTATAGAATTTCCATGAAAATCCAAGATGCACAAAGTCTATTGCATATGCATGTTGATCTTTTATTACTTTATATTCGCTTCGTCATGTCGCCCTGGAATGTCCTAGATTTACAACTCCAGGGCTCAGGTCACCGACTGTTGAAAGCCTGCCTACAACCGCAGTACCATGCTTTTCGAACCAACGACCAATCTCAAGAATGTGAATCCATATGAATCCTTAATATGTCAAACCTCCAGTTTCAACGCGGTACCACATGAGCGGAATACAACGTGTTGCACTTTAGAAATCTGTAGATGAATTGTATGTATATGTATGCGCAATATACTGCGTAGACTGGCGTAGACACAATAATGCACGAGACCGCGCTGTACAAAACATATGCCTCTTACAAAATAAGTCAAGATGGCACCGGAGAACATATATATATATATATTTATAATATGATATATAATGATATATATATATAATTATATATACACACATACACCAAACCAAATGGGATTGCATCACACTTCAGCGCATAATCTCAGAGACAACAATATAGCAAGTGACTGTGCGGAATGGAAGTCCATAGTCTTGTCTTGTCAAACAAAGTGATGGTATAACCCGCACCCTGGGTGTGCTGAAGATGTTTCTTCATGAGTTTGTTCTCGAATGTACCATGATACGATATGGCATGATCCTACAGGCATACAGGGTGGGGAAATATCAAACCTTTGAATATCGGGTTCTTGGGTGCCACCAGCAGCAAGACCACTTGATTTAAGGGGCCGGGGATCTCCTGCAAAGAGCGTCTCGTTTAGCCTTGAAATGCAGGAGATGCGCAATGTTTTTGCCAGTTTTCCCATTTTCGGTGGAAAATTATGTCACTTGTTGCTGTGTCAAGTCAGTCTGCGTCCCTGAAATTCGTGCGATGCTGAGCTGCTGAGCTTCCCAGCCAGCTCTTGTTTCCATCTGCGAGGTGGTCATCAAAATCCACCACGTCAAGAAACCTGTCACTGTCAGAAATTTGGATTGAACAAACATCTCCTCGCAAGCACATCTTGGCACATCTCAATCCACTTGGCACATCTAGGCACCGTCGAGCTCAGTCATTCCCTCTCAGCGGCCTCATCTCGCCGATGAGTCTGGAGGTCTCGCTAAGTACCTGCGAAAGGCTAACCAGTTTTTCTTACTGAAAGCTGCCTGCAAGGCATCTTCAAAAATCGAGTAGTTTAGGGGGAAAACACAATGGCCATAAATTGAAGTGAATCTTCCACTCTCAGACATCTATCAGTAATAGTCCCATAAAAAAATATGGAAAAATTGTTATGATGTATCCATTTTAAAAAAAGGTCACATTGCCCGTTCAAATTGTCTGGGTCCCACGTCCCAGCCAGCGGACCTCGCTGTTGAGGCTGACCAAATCACCTTAGACAGCCCCAAATTTGGAAAATTAGCCAACAAAAATGGAATGGAAACCTCCCAAATTTGATGGTGTTTCATGGTGTTTCAATGTTTTTCATGCGTGGTTTTGACTGAACATCAGGTACTCCCGAACATCCCATGGTTAATTAATGCTCAAACCTGTGTACAGCTCGAATCTAAAGAAGCTTACCTTGGAGACCCTTAGAGATACTTTCAGCAGGGTTGGTGACTTCAGCGAAGTCAATTTTTTTTCTCATCAAGTAGCTACCAACTGCCTTCCATTCGTCCTGCGCAAGTGCCATTGCTCTGGGATACATCATAGATCATCATAGATCATCATAGTGATTTAAAAGCACTCGGTTGCGTCGGTTGGGTTTCCTCCTGATCGCTCTCATACCTCACCATGGATATCACGATATATCACGGTAACATGGGAAATGATCTAAAAATATCTGAAATCTCCTGAACAACGGTTTGTTTGATGGCTTTCAAGAGTGTGACCCAGTGTGTGTCCATTGGATGTATCTGCGTGTGTGGTATAAATGTCATGTTCACTGGCTAGCCAGCCGGTAATCAGACAAAACCAATGTTAGCAGAGCACAATGAAGGATAAATTCTTGTCGAAGTGATGCCGGTACAGCAGCCAATAGTGAACGACAGACATAGGTACAATGTATGAGAGCTCCCAGTCCAGGAAAAACAAATGTATAAACTTAAACATCATTAAACATCATCTATGTAATGCGAATGCCTGGATTCTCTATCAACTGCTAAAATGACAATCAAAGTGCGCTATCTAACGGCCTCTGTCGCAGGGAACTCCCCAGCTTTATGGTCCTTTACTCGGCCCATGCCCTTGAACGCAAAGTGCTTGTCTGGCAGCTTGCCTTGGAATCATGACGCCATCCTTGCATCATCCTCCAACTGAAGCATAAAACAATGCCACAACCGCCGGTCTGGAAAACCAATATGAAACCTCAAAAGAAAACAGCTTCCGACATTGTGGACATATTATTTACTGAGACAATACACAAGGCATCACTTCTCCTATGGATTTGAATCAATGATGTTAATGGCAAGTCATGGCAACTCATGGCAAGTGTACTTTAATCTCATGCAATCTCAACAACACTGTGAAACAAGAGGTCCCAAAAGAAGCGAAGAGTCAAAGTATTGCAGCACAAGCGGCTGGCATCAAGGCTCCACACCTTGGTTCCGCAAGCAGATTTAGTCGGCCAAAGAGGAGCTGTTTTAGAAACGTGCACGCGTGCCCTGGACTCTTCCCATGCTTCCTCCCCTATGGCAGGGACGGAGGCGGAGGCGAAATTCGCAGCAATCTTGTCTGCAATTGCCTGAAAAGATGCACATCAATTGAGTTTCAATGACTCAATGACCATCCACTCAGATCTGAACATCATCAAATCATCATCCAGTGTCCATCCAGCGTCCATCCAGTGTCCATCCACAGTCCATCCAGTGTCCATCCATTGGAATGTACTGTCCCATGCTGTCCCTCTGCTGTCACTGCCTTCACCGGGGTCATCTCTGTGCTCCCGGAGGGAGTTGCATGATAGATGCCCACAATCTCCAAGGAGGCATCGGCCTAGGTCGAGGAGATACCCCTAGGAGAAAAACTGCCTTCTTTTAGGGATTCCCATGGATTATGGTCATCCCGTCCCCAATATATCCAATATATTGGGACACTATGGGTATAGTCACGTATCAACCAACATGGCTTTTTGAACACTGCTCAGATTGCGATTGGGGTCTCGTTCTGCTCCCCTGATAATATCAGCAATAATATGGTCCGCCAAAAATGCCATCGAAAAAATCGCCGCTGGGAGGTGCGGACGGACTTGCAGTGCTCTTCTGCCAGCATGCAGGCCTCAACGGAAAGAAATGGAATGCGTCTGCCATGCTGACTGGTTCTAAGCTACGAATCAAGACCGGGAACAGCTTGAAGATGGTCGAAGCAAATGAATTCTATACTATAGTATTATAGTTTGTCCAAATTTTGTCTGGGGTGCAAGAAGATACCAAGCCGTGTTGTTATTCAGCATGACAAATACCAAGGGTCAGTTGAGGCCAGCACAATTTTCAGCATTGGGCCCTGGCAAATGGTCAATGTACAGCATTCCAATCTACTCTTGTCCAAAGAATCAAGCTAAAAAATGGCTGACTGATGTAGAGCTGAGAAACAAGTTGATCAAACAAAAACCTTTGCGCCATTCAATTCAATATCTGTTCATATCTGTTCTCTGTGTCTGTATGTTGTGTCGTGAACGTGTCACCCAGAACAATCCCCTATAATATGTGCAATTTATTAAAGCTTTGAGCATATAATGATCTACAATGTTTAGTCTTCTAATGATGTCATATTCTATGGGTATTAAATGTGCACATGTTCATTTACGCGTGTACAGGAGTCCAGGAGTCCATCTAGATGCATTTACTGACTGGCATCAAACCCTTGAGGTACCATCTTTAGTTTGTTGAATCAGCGTCATCTGACTGCTGGTGCTGTTAGTCTTAATTTGGGAAACATGTTGCGAATCATAATGATACATGCTTTGTGACTTGCTTTTCTCTGTCAGCCTCCCTGCGCACGCCTCTTGAGTGGTGGTATGGAAATGAAAAAAAAAGAGCAAGCGTCAATCATGCCAGGAGCACCAATGCATGAGTGTGAAAGAGTGGAATGGTTTCCACTACCTGATCAACAATTCATAGAATTCGGTGCTAGGCCAGGAAAACAGCAAGCTACAGCAATTCCATGTCCTGGTCTGAACCGATCAAGGCGCATAGCTGGCTTCTCAATGGGATGACGATTTTAAAACTTCCCTTCTTGCAGTGGGAAAAATGGACATCCAATGGACCTGTACTACCTGTATATATCTGTATATATATATATATCTGTATATACTGTATTACTTGTATAGTTTCTTCACTGTTTGATCTGTTGGAAGCTTGCAACAGAAATGTCCAGTGCTCCACCTTAATCACTTTGCCATCTGCATGGCCCAAGAAAAGACCAAGCACCTTGGGTGACGGCTGCTACACAAAAACCATGCAGCTTCGAAAGTCAGGGTCGACCCATACACATCTAGTTGAAGCCCTTCGCAGATCACTCAATCCTTCACAATTTCACAATCGTTCATTCATAATGTACTACTCTATTTCAGGACAGTTGCTGCGCTACAGTCAGTCATGTTTGTGGAGGTTTGCTAGTGTCCATTGAATGCGGTTGCTTTTGCAATGACTGTCCTTGAAACAAGTGAATCAACTGTCTCCAATGTTGATGATGTTAGCTTCAAATAGCTGGAATGCCTGTATGCTGAAATTCCAGCGAAAACCTCTACCAGAAAATCCTTCTGACCAATGAACATGTCCATGTTTGCAGATCTTCGATACTGCGGCTCTGGCAGAGCTGGATGAGTGTTTGCAGACATGCAGCACCGCCTCGGCACACATTCAAGATATTGGAAAAAAAATATACAGATTGTTTAGAAAGGAGGTTGTCTCAAAGGGTACCCCGAATCTGATGAGGATCATTCTCAGCATAGATGGCCATGTGTACTGTAAATTGTCCAGCAGTTTTGGTCAAACCGAAACGAAACCTTGAAAACTGTGCTTGCCAGCTGGATTCTGTTAAAATGGCCAGCAGCCCTCGCCCAGCAGTTCAAACACAAGTTGGAGCCGAGATAATCAGAAAACATCATAGCAAACGTACTAGATGTTCCAAATTGCAATGTCTAAGCTGGCCGATAAATTTCAAATTTTGGAAACGGAACTCAGATTCAGAGATTCAGAGTTCAAACGGTGCCGTGTTCAACGCACCAGTGTCATCCAGTGTCCAGTGTCGCCCGCACCTTGGCATAAGCCTGGGGATGGAAGGAATATCCTTTGCAGTGGCCAAAGTCTGAAGGCGCATCAAAACTGACTGGATTTGAATTCCTAAGTCATAAGATGTCATAAGTTCCTGTGCCTCTGAAAGAAGACACGCTTTTTCCATGACTTCTAGCTTCCAAAAGTTTACAAGCTCTCCACACGATTGACAAGGCTCTAAATCAGGTATCAGACTGCTTCAATGTTTCAAAAAGCATCAAAAAGCCATAAGCTTCCCAGGTGGGAACATCAGTTAGCTTGATGACTGTCAGTCCTGCGGAGGGCGCCATGGTGCACCTGCAGTGCCGGAGCGCCGGCACGGAACAAAAGACGGATCGTTCGTAGCTTTGGAATCCTTGTGATTTCATAGCATTTCAGTATGTAGTTCTATCATGTTCTATCTAATCAATTTCTATTTATGAAGTTTGCCCATCACAAATGAATATGAGTTCCCAAACAGCAGTGCTTATTGGGTTTCAATCTCTGGGACTGGTGCATCACGGGTGAAAGGCGCTCAAAACCAGACTGAAACCTCCCAACAGCCGCGAAGTGCAGCCAAAGGCACCGCACAGGTCCGACCGTTTTCTGAGAAGCCAAGATGCAGCGATCCCAAGGTTGAAGACCGGAAATTTGGCAAAATATCGTTGTGATTCAAACAAGGGGTACCAATGGACACACGAATTTCTCTTTTTCGATGTGCTTAATTGTTGAACCCTCAAAACAAGTGGGGTCAACAGTTTTGAACCATACCTGTATGACAAACTGTTTCAAAAAGTCCTCGCCAGGTTTAATCGATGGTCTCCTCCACAATCTCTTCACACTGAGGTAGTTTCGATGGAAATGCCGCCAGTGTGTAGCTTCGGCTAGCATGAGTTCAGTCAGCTCCGGATTCGAGAATTGAAAACTTTAAGAAAGTGGCTGAAGTTTGACATTGAAATCGACAGTAGGAAGTTGCTTTTTTTCATTCTACAAGTGTAGTCATGATTCTGGTTCACATAGCTCTTTCTTACATCCGCAAAGAAGACCCAGCAAGAGACACTCTTTTGTTCGCTATTCCAAATACAAGTATCTATCCACGCAGGATACAAAATTCTTGAACCATGTGCCATCGCCCATCAGTCTCAGATCTATCAGCAATAAACAATGTGAGTGCAATGGCCTTTGGCTTTCCCATCCGGAATCAACGTCCAACCGTCTACACTCTTCACCAAAAGTCTGCCCAAACAATAGAAGCAGTGGTCAATGTTGTGTTGTTTTTGTTCCCACCATGCGCAACTGCAAAATCAAAGTAGTGGATTCTTTCAAAGTGCTGCATAACAAGCACACTTTACCAACAACATAGCTACAACGAACTCGTCCTGACCCAAAGAAGTGCAGCTCTACAGAGACCGAAAAAGGCCTTGGCCTGTCACAGAGACCGTCCAACACGAAAAGCGTCGATCCGCATGTTTTTCACTGCGGAGACGCGTTTAGGGCCAACCGATCTTTTTTTAAATGCTTCTGTACACATTGCCTCAGCAGGTACACACAATAAATAAAGTGAAATGAAATCAAACAAAGGTCCGTAGACCAATTCGGGCTGCCACTGTCTCAAAAGCTTATTGTTATCCTACGGCTTGCGGTACAGGTTACCATTCTTTGGGTCCCAATGGTCAAAGGGCCGCCCAGAGATTGACTCAAAAAATTGGACGGCTGAATGTCGGAAATTCAAATGACAATTTGTTGTGCAATGTTTGATCCTTTTTTCAAGTTATGTTTGGTCGGCTCACCATTTTTCAATCTCCAAATTGTTGGTTTGATGCTCAAATGACAAGGTCCTCAAGAAGACAAGAGGCCAGTGCACAGCCAGGTTTTTCTTACGGACCCTCCAAGGTTATCGTGGGGGCTGCAGTTGGAGTCCAAACTGTCTAGGGAAAAGGATGTTAGCGAGCTTCTTTAATCCCAAAAAAGACGCAAGAATAAACTCAACTTGAGAGAAATGATGAGAAATGCCATGGTTGCTTTTAACTGTTTTAACTGCTGCTCCCTGACTTGAAACTGCATCCCTCAGAAGTACGAGGACAGTATATACCGAAGGGTATCCATCACGTCCAAACGGCACCTGAAGAACGGCTTGCCATGGGGAGGTTCAAGGGAAGATAAGAACAATTATGGACACCCAAAGATGCATTGGGCTTGTTCCTGAGCTGTTCAATGACTACTGAAACCGGCTATGTCCACTTTGGATTGATTAAACAGCATCTTTGAAGTCAAGGATAGGTCCTCAGAAGTGGTCCGGCGCAAGTAGTGTAGCAGGAACAGATTTCAACTTTGCACCAGATTTCCTGTAAAAATATGTAAACAGAACGTTTCAGGATGTGTCAGGTGATTTTAGTATATTTTAGTCACGCTACGTGGCACTCTCAATACTCAAAAAGCGAAAAGGTGGGAACCATAATATTGACTCGATCTCCGGAATTGTCAACCAGGTGTGTTGACTCTCTGATTTCTGTTCAGGTTGTCGTTTTGCACTTAGTCTGCGCCGAATTTTTATTTAGCATCCACAACCCATCAAACTTCCCTATGTTTGTAATTCTGATGGAGTCTGCTAAAGGAATTCATTGGTTTTCATTGACCCTCAGCAAAATCCGCTAAAGTATACCGTGAACATCCACCAAGCAGCTATCGATGCATGATGTAGAGCCGCCTCTCACAGCAATCACAGATTGACTTTTTTTTGGCGACTTGCTGTATCGCTTGCGAAAACATGTGCCACCATATCCATCTCATTTTCAGACCTTGTCAGCTTGGAGATGTTGCTTTCTAAATCATATCATGAATCGCTATCTGACAACATATGTTCAAACCTTTGCAGTCAGTTTGCGGATGTTGCTGTTTGTTGAATTCCTCATATTTTCTCAGAGGGTGCAGTTAGTCTATTTATTGTTTATTTACATATATATATATAGATACACCATGATACACCTATATATATATACATATAATAGATAGGTATATAATTTATTTACTTTACAGACTCATCACCAAACGCACTCGTTTACCACACCGCCTTGTCAAGGTGTGCGACATCCTGCACCTGCAAGGAGGCGATCCTGCAGTTAGAGATAGTTTGCAAACCAAAATCCTGTGGTATATATATTATATTATGTATATAATATATAATTATATATATATATATTAAATATCAAGCATATCAAACCAAAATAGTCATTTTCGGCTATCTCAACTGTATCTCAGTATCCCCATGACAAATCCAAGTCATCGACATCGCAGAAACATTCGCAGAAACTGTTGGATGTTTTTGCCGTCCTTGGCTGTGCCATCACTGATCTGCCCAACATCAGCGCCATACTTCATCAAAAGCAACGCTATGTCCAGATCTGCATTTTCGACCACGATTTGGATCGGCTCCATGCGTGCTCCTGACTCCAAGCTGACTCCAAGTCATCCAAGTTGCGATTTCGCAACAAGGAATGGAAGCATGCTGGCTTTGTTTCAACGGTTTGGCACACCAAAATGGCCATCTTCATGGGGAACACATGGGAAAACGGAGATAAATCGATTTGGGGGTTCCAAATTCTGGCACAAAGATTTGTACGGTTTCCGATGGCACTTGGGACATGTGCGGGAGTTCGGAAAAACTGTGAGCTGGGCATAGATGTGCTGTTCTGAACCATGTATGGTTCAACGACAAGCATACATGAAGCTCAACATAGTAATTACTAAAATCTTGGGTATTGTATGGTATTGTTCAACATTGTCGTTGTTATGACTTACTAAACGCGACATATCAAAGTGACATTAGTCTGCATTGCATATCCTGTAAGTCTCTGACTGAAATTTGCAGCCAAATGACCTGACGAAGCTGCTGCTTTTGCCCGGAGAAGCAACTCCACGACCTTTGAGGTCGATTTTTTGCCGGGTTGTTTCAGATTGTTCACCTAGATCTGTTCTGACATGTACGCCGTCCAAATTGTCCAACCAAAAAATACTCTACTTAACATAGCCGTTGATTCCGTTGATGAGTAGCCAGATGTAGCCAGTAAAATGCTAATGTTCCTCAAAATCAGATGTAACGTTCCTCAGTCAATGGATTGGAAATGACGAAATGACCAAGACTTGTCAGACTTTTTTCTGACAAGGCACGCTGTAGCTGCCTCCAAATGCCGCGTAGTGCAGGGCAGTGGCACCAGAAGGCGTTGCGCAGTCAATTTTTGCAGATGCCATGAGTAGTAGGCGGCAGATCTGCAGATCACCTTCACTTTTTTAGGGCTTAGCACAGCAAAACAGCTGGGCACAGGCTGCAATCAAATTTGATTCAACTATATTCAACTCAAACGCTTGTCCACCTAGAATCGTTGCAACATTTCAAAATCATGGTATGAAGATGTATGAAGATGTATGAAGATGTATGAAGATGTATGAAGATAGGGGCCCACATGTTTGGGGGGTGATACTAGCTCGAAGAGCACCGGCAGCTACAGCCTACTTTGTTGATTCCCTTGGAGCATTCCCGCCTTTGGCTGAAGCGATCATCAAAGGTGTTCTTTTGCCGCCGACATTCGGATCTTGTCGGCATCTCAGTAAATTTGCAACCTCGGATCATGCGCTTCAAGGCATGCGAGAAAATTAATTACACTGATATACACTGATTACACTGCACCTTCCACAGCAACCGCATCCGTGAATCTGGAAAAACTAACGGATTTCTGGGACGTGAATTGTGGATTTCTGGGATTTGAAGCTCTGCTGACACTCAGAAAGTACCGTCTTCACCAGCAACAAATATCGTCCGATCCAATCCAACAACAGCAGCTTCACAAGTCCGATATCCAGCTGTTTCCGATTTGTTTCAGCATGTTTTAACATGCCAAGATGCCACATCCATCCTGGAGTTCCTGCAAGCTTCCTGGAGCAGTCTGCTCTCTGACGAGGAGGGGGGCGACACCAGCACCAGGAGCTCCAGTCGTGACCTCTCTGGGAAGAACTCCGCTGCAGGAAGCATCGCCAGGTCTTGTCGCTGGCATCCCAATTTGCTGCCTGACATCCGCAGTATCAAACCAGCGGATGAAATTGGCCGAATCATGGTGAGATGATCTGAGATGATAACGTCACCAAAAATGCATAGCTTACATGCAAACAACTAGGGTATGATTTGAAATGAGAAACCGGTTTGTGTTTCCTTTTAAAACGGTGTCTGTTTGCACCGGCAAATGTCAAGTGCTACGTTGCTCTCTTTGTCTTCAACCTTCATCCCTAGGGAAAAAATAGAAACACTGAACCAGCTGTAGCTCTTTATTGCAACAGGAGCCACTAATCGCTGAAAGGCAATCCAGCAGCTCAAACCAGTCGTCCAGCGTCTCCTGACATCGTCAACATTACTCAAATCTCTTTGAGTATGGTTCATTCGAGGGCTTGCTTAACGGGCCTTAAGCAACGGCAATGTCAGAGGATGAACTCACCCACAAAGACCATCTGAAAACCATTGAAAACCAAAGCCACCTTTTCAAGTTTCAACCCACACAGCCTCTGCCCTCAGGTTTCGGCATGTTTCCCAACATGTTTCCCAACATGTTTCCCAACATGTTTCCCAACATGTTTTAACACCATGCAGCATGCAACTTTTGTTTAGCAAATGTTGTCAACAAAAAAAAAAAACACCAACCTCGTGAAGGATCCGGCCGCTCAGCAGCGTCGCTGTCAACCGCATCGCTGCGAAACGCATGTGCGCTGGGTCTTTTGTGGGCTGCGCTTGGATTCGTCTTAGATGTTACGACGTTGTTACGAGATGTTACGAGCTCATCTTACTTAGTCTTACTTCATGTTCATTCATTTTCATTCATGTTCCACATGCACTGCAAATGCTGTCCGTTTCCCTGAACAAATCTGAGTTGCCCATGTTGCTGATGATTGCTGCTGAATAATGTTTCCTGATGGCTGCTGGTGGCTGATGGCTGCTGATCTTTCCTGGTACTGGCAGTTGCTGATCTGCGTGTCATAGTGCACCCACGCCCCGCTTGATCTGCCCCAAATAGCCTCCAACTTCTGGTGACATGAATGTAACAGCATGAAGGTGGACCCCATCACTGCATGGACTTGAAACGCGTAAGTGATCATAAGTGCAAGTGCCTAGAGTTGATCAGGTGCACCGTCATTCTTTTTTCCTGCGTGCTTTGGCTGGAAGTGCTCTCCAAACATCCCGGACCTTGCTGATCACACAAAGTCTTGGGAATGTATCTAGGGAAATCGACTGCAAAAAAAATGCTGTTTCTGCTGTTTGTGCTGTTTGTTGGTTTGTTGGTTCCGCAGACTATTCCTTCTCGTTTGTTGTGTCTTTGCCAGAATGAGATGTGCAGCATAAGTGAGTGCTGTCTTGATGAGAATTGAGGCACGAGGCAAACGGTACATGCCAAAGATGAACAAGGCTATGGGCCTATGAATAGCTCCAGCAAAATTCTTTAAACAGCAATGCATGGATCTTAGCAGGGAGAAGGCTCATCGTACTGAGATCGGCGGCATTGTCGAAGACCGTGGTGAATAAAGTCATCGCAAGTCTCACGGGACGTGAGAAGGTTGAACAGCGCCATAGTTGCATCATGAGGCTTGACAAAAAAAGAAGTCACTGCCAAGGTATTGCACAAGATTGTGATATGTTCACCGGCTGTGGAATTTCAATTCCAGCCAATCAACTTTGTGAACTATTGAAGCCATTGCTGCGGGATCGTCGACCTATTACAAGAAATAGGAGTAAACAAGGTGACTTCCCCATTTAGGCTTCAGCCGCTGTCCAGAATGTGCCAAGCAATAGCTTCCAGTCGCGACATGTTTCCGTTATGTCTGTTTCCCGTGGTATCCGGCACAATCGCAAGTTTTGGCCTTGCAAAATATCTGCTGGCAACTCTGGCAGGAGGTACCTCACTCAGTGCTTCCAACCAGAAGTAAAGTGACGAAATATGCGAAGCGGAGAAGCACTCAACAAAATTATTGGACCCAGCCGTACCAACATTCAAGTGGTGATCTTCACAATAGCTTAAACAAGACCTGAGCCGCAGACCTGACGAAAAGGTCTGCTGGCAGCCCTTGCAACGTGTAGACAGGGCACCTCGCCGAGTTTTGCAGAACTTCGCATGTCGGGATTAAGGGACAGTCCAAAAGGGGGCAAGAACCATAGCAAACCGAAGTAATTATATAATTCAACATAATTCAACTCAATACCAGCATCTTGAAATTCCTCATACACGAATGAGGTTTACAATTCAATGACACATGCAATAAGTTATGCACGGATGTGCACAGGACATATCCCTATGACATACAACTTGTACAATCACATACAAATAGGGTCTCCAAGACTATGCAGATCTGCGTGCCTGTCTTTGTCATGGTACTATACAATTCGTGATATTCTGTGAAATGATCTTTGTTGAGTAAGTCAACTGGTGATTTTATAACTAGTGATGCTACACCAGTCACATTCATCTGCAATCTTCCTGCCTAGATCCACAGGAAGAAACGGTGCCAGGGGTACAACGCTCCTGCGCCCAACGGTACAATAGATCTTGGATCTTGGCTGCCATTGTTTTTGAATTAACGATCTGGGAAAATTTTAAGATGTCAGATTACTTTCTATTGTGCCAGCGTTCTTTTTGTGCCATCAAACGCAGAGACCAATTTTCGAGTCAGGTATACTGTACGTAAGACAGAGCTACATCCAAACAGCTTCATATTGTCATGCCGAAACAGAAAGGTCTCAGCATAAATCGGATATATACTGAGTGTCTGGTATTGCGAATGATTCAGCCGGTCCTGAAGGCTCTTGCCAAAACAGAAGCAGAGACCAGAGGCAGGTCACAAATCTTGCATCGACTTGGCCTTGGTGTCCAACAAAGAAGCAGCAAGTTCGATATAGGAGGGAGGGAGGGAGAGAGAGGGAGAGAGAGAGAGAGAGATAGATTGTCTCTACTACACTTGAGTGTTGGCTATTTCGTCGTTTGCTCCTTTCCCTCCTCTCTTAGATCCCAGCAAGCCACAGCTGCGACCATGGCATTGTGGGCCTCAGTGCTATGAAAGTGCTGGTCACATGAACCAAGAATCGTACAGAATTGCGTTGGAGCTAGGGTTGCAAGCAACTCAAGTAACCAGGACCTCTGCAGGTCAGGATTTTGCTGGGTGCTCTGGAGGATACGAGCCGGCTTGGCTCCTATAGGGAAAACAGTCAGCCTTTTTTTTTGGTACAAGTCGTGCAGAATCAGCTTGCTAAGGCTGCTGCAAACATACAAACTATTTCTCACTTGAAAGTGGCAAGCACCTGGGCTGGGGTTGTGATCGGCGACTTCTGTGCCAAAGAACGCGAGTGCTGTGTGGCAATACTTCACGCTATTACCTCTTGCCAACGAAAAACTGTGAAGGATTCCTTTAGCCAGTTGGGCTCTGAATGGACAGTCCCACGTTCTGAATTCTGTTTGCTGGCTATGCTTCGTCCATCCAAAAAGTGAACATGTGGGTATTATTTGTTTTGACTTCGCCAACTGCAGCTTCAAACTGTTGGCTTTTATTGGAGATGAATGTTCTAAATGTGCAACGGCATCATGTACTTGAGTTTCCCACAGGCTTCAGGTTTCTTTGCCTGGAAATCAACACATTGAGCAGGTGCTACAGAGCTGTCAAACTGGAACCCCTTGCACTACCAGCTGTGCATTGCCCACCTCTATTTCTAAGAGTCGCGGGAAGCCCATGCCTCAGAATCATGAATCTATGCCCGGCCTTGAATTGTTCCAAGAGGTGTGTGTGTGTGAGTGTGAGTGTGTGTGTATATTATATATATATGTATATTACGCACTTGTGCTATCTTCTCTACTTCTTATGTCAACAGGCATAGAGCAACAGTAGTGCTTAATGTGATTTGGAATAGGTGTCTATACAGTGCATTGCACATGCCCACAAAAACTTGAACTGAGGCAACAAGCACATGGGGAAGTGTCAAGATTGGGTACCTGAGCCTTAAGCGTGCTTGAAAAAATGACTAGATTCTGCTTGCCAGGGCCTCAATCAAAAAATGGGGTACTAATGGGCCGATAAAGGCTTGTTATTTCAAGTTAGTATGTCTCAAAATGGGCCTAACCCTGGGAAATGTGATGATAAAAACCAGTGAGTGGATTTATTTGTGGCCCCATGTTTGGACAAAGTATGAGAAGCTGTCTACTTTGGGGTGGTTCATCCCAACTTCATTGGTTATCCTAACATGTTGCTTCAAGCTGGTGATCAATCTATTTCGGGGGTCAATGATTCTGACCTCATCCTGATATCAGTTGATATCAGTTGATAGCAGGGCTTCCCCGCGCACCATTTGAGGTGCCACATCTTTGCCCTGGATCTCAGGTGCTGAGAGATGACTACGGAGAAGCTCCTGGCAGAGGGAGAGGTAACATATGACGTATGCCAGATAGTGCACTCAAACAGATATTAAGTTAAATGTTTGACATTATTTAACATGTGTATTTGTTCTATCTACTTTCAAAACCATGTAATTTTCTAAAGATATTGAAATCAAACAGTTGTGGCGATTGAAGTTTGTCCTCAACTCAACTAGGACCTGAAACTGTCACGAAATATTTCGATGATCCTCGAAGTGGGTGTGGCTCATCGCGACTTCGAAGCGGCCACCGGTCTCGACCTGATGTCACACACATGGCACTGCACATGGCACTGGGACGATTTCTTGAGTCTTTTATGTCTTTTTTATATAATTATATTCCTTTCATAAATTGGAGCTGCTGGTTTCTCTGCAAGTAGCTTTTTTTCTGACAGTGAATCTTCTATATGGCACCTAAGCTTTCTTTTCTGAAACCAATTCTCCTAAACAATTGCAGCATGGGCTTCAAAACAACAGCGGCGTGTACATTTTGACATCGCGCTTTGGCTACCGTCAGTCGAGTAACAACTCCGCACTCGGGTTTCCGAGGGGGGAATAACTTCTCACAGAGACCATTTTGAACACAACCAGTGCAAGCATAATACTTGCAACGATGGCAAAGCTTAGCAGGACAACAGGGAAAATACTTGAGGAGGTATCTGTATCAACTTTATCAACTTCATGCACAGCATCAAGCTGTAAATTGGCATTGATGTCAATGTATCTGGGAAGGGGGTGCTGAGCGAAGAAGTTGAAGATCATCCGGTTGGCATCCACATTGCTTTTGGGCCCAAGACCTGTCAAACGCACAGTCTGGTGAACTTGGCATGAATATCATGAATATCATGAATATCATGAATCTGGGGAACCCTTCCTTGGTACAAAGACTCACTAGCATAGAAGAACATATGAAGATATGCTAAGGATTGCTAAGGTTTAGAACCCGATGTCCCTGAACTCAGACATGTCCTCGTCTCGCAGCAATGAGAAAGAGGACAGCTTCTAAACATGTTTGATCACATTTGAATAGTTTCAACTTTCAACATACAAAGTGTTGTCGGGGCTGTTGGATAGCTAGCTCAAGCATCACATCAACATCAAACAAAGAGGCTCAAACACCAATGGAAATCATCTGCTTGGAGACCTGAGTGTGGATACAGCCTAGATCTTAAACTCTTCTCACATAGCCCACCTCCAATAGCGAAGGTAGCACCAGGCCATTGATGGCCCGCGCCAAGCATTTGCATGACCTGCACTGTTGCATTGTCCTTGCACCCGGTGTAGGAGGCCACTGAGAAAACACCCTCCTGTAAGAATTTGGGTGTTGCTGAGGATCGATAGCAGTGGTTGAACTTCGCCCAGTTCTGCAGGGCACCCGGTACAGACTCGTGCCAATATTCCGCACCCTGACCTCCAAAAGGATTGATGTTGTCTGCATCTCCGTGAAAGGCGAGGATTGGGATTGGTCGGGTCGCATGGTTTGGCTGCGGATATCGGAGACCTGAAACGGGTGCAACAGATGCAATAACTGATGACATCTCTGAAGCCAAACGCATGCAAAAGCGCGCACCATTCGAATATCCCGCGCAGTGTACTCGCCTCTTCGACAAACATGGCAGTTTTAACAAATGCTTCAGAGCCTCTTTGACAAAAAGCACATCATGGATTTGGGCCTCTTCCATCCACAGCAGAGGCTGACTGTGCCGACCCACATCAAATTGATACTCATTTTCTTCATTCCTTAGAGCCTGAAGTGCCAAAAGTCCAATGTCATTGGCTTTTGCAAATTCCCTGAGACCAGTGTAGTCCAAGAAATAGTCTACCGTGTTGGTGGTACCATGCATGGCCAACCAGAGGGGTGCCTTTTCCACACCCTCTGGCAAAAACAGCGTCATGCTCCGAAGCTGATTCCCAACTTGAATTTGCACCTTTTCAGGACCAAACGCTTGACATTTCGGGCTTCCTTTCACCACAGCACTCCCAATTTGCACCGATTTCCAGAGTGGCAGGGAAGTAGTCACAGTCGTTACCGTTGTCACCGTGGTTGTCGAAATTGTCCGAGTCAAAGTCATCGTTACTGTCGTCGTCGTCACAGAGGTGTGAGTCGTGGCGGTCGTGGTGAACTTTTTTGGAGGCAGTGTAAACACGGCTGGCTGGGTCTCTCTATCATTATCACAAAGAAAATGATAATCTTCACAGCAGCCTCCAAAGTCCTCGCACCAACTGGTGCATTGGCATGCAGCACCTGGAGTCAATAAGTGACAGCGCCCACTACACGATAACTCGCCACCACTCACATGTGACAGAGTCGTCACCAGCAGAAGTCTGTACATTCTACTACTCTGGCGTAATTTATGTGGTCAATCTGAAAACCAGTTGACCACGTCAGGAGCTATTGATTGAGCCCTGTTTGCGGACACAGGCAGGGCTTCCTTGAATAGTCCCAAGATATGGCAAGCATGTTTAATTCAAAATGCAGGAGCCGCCCAATGAATGAGAAGTTGTCCCTGTTATTCTGAACTGTCAGACTTACAATTGAAACTCTACAAATGTCTTTCTCGAGGGTCATCGTTACCTGATTCTGGCGCATCAGAACATTCAATATGTTCTCAAGACCTTCTGGAAGCTGTCGAAGGATGGTTGCATGCTCACGTCAGCTGTGCTGAGCAGCAACAGCTAGCACGACAGGAAATCGCAAAGTTTGATTTGGGCTGCAGACACAAAGATTCTTCAGGGCGAATATTTCAGGGCTCAAAGAAACTACCGACACCTGAAACAAGTTGCAACATTCAGCACACACATGCTGCAACTTTTGCATGATTCATGCATCATAATTATCCCGAAATCCTAAACTCGCAAACGACAACCGGACAAGGGGAGTCAAAACCCACAATGATCATAGTTCACTGCGTGTGGAGGCAAAACATGGTACATGACATGAGAAAAACATGGCACGTAAGCCATGTAAGGCACATAAGGCACGTAAGGCACCCACACGGATATTCTTCAAGCGCAGGGTTGGGAGCAAATCCTGGTGAATCCAGGAGATCTCTCACGGGCGAAACCTGAGTTGTTCAGCTTTCCGACATCAATTTTTACAACAAACCACAACGGCGAGAACACGTGGAGTTGAACATTTGCATACCATTTATATAGTATTTGCTATGTTTTACCGGGTCTACTCCGAGACCTGATTACAAGAAGGAATGAACATGCTGCCACAAGTTTTAGTGCAAACTTTGCAACTGGTAACCCTGTGTTTTGCAAAGTTATCATAGATTTCCCCTCATGTCCCGTCCTCCATCGTGAGCTCTTGCAAATTGCAGGTGGCAACGGAAGCCAGCAACACCTGGATGCGACACCAAGCGACCCCCAGAGGGTTCAGGCACGCCTTACTTGTCCAAGAGTTGTCTATGTACATGTGGAATCCATGCTGGCAAAGTCTTTGACAGACTGACATACTCAATGGATCTAAATGGTGTCGCAGCGGGTAACGAACATGAATTGACAGAGTCAACATTGCTACACACTACGCCTCTAGAAGGGCACACACACCTTCACTGTCCCCAAAATCTGAACAACAAAAACCAAAAGCCAAGCAGTGATTCCCTTTCAGGCTAAGGCTAAGGTAAAGTGCCTTGGAACCATTGGTTGTCAAAGTTTGCTGCCATCTCTGCCGTTGGAAGAGACAACATGAAACGACTCCATTCTTTATCAACCTAATTCTGGGACTCCAAGCAAGAACTTCTCTGAGCCCATAGGGCGGCACATCTTGAAGTCCTTGAAGAGCCCGCTGCAAGGCTGCAACGGCACAGCAGCGCCCTTTGGCTCCCTGATGAGAATCATTTGGAATGGTGGTTGATGTAGCAATCTTGACCACTTCTGGCCATTGAGTTTGTCCAAAATAGGGGATTGATTAACTAGATGGCCATTTTCATGGAGGAAATGATGGTCATCCATTGGAATTGTGGGTAACGCATTTCCAGACAAATCAATTGGGTGCTTTTAACGAACGTCTCTGTGTGCGCGGTGGAGAACCACGTGGGTCTTAGTTGACGTGACTCCCGATTAGATTGCAATGCCTGACTAGAACCTTAGACCTCTACCCACAACTAGGCGAGGCCAAGAGGCTTTGGCTATTTCTAGCAGGACTCGCATTTTCTGTCCGGGAGAATAGTAGCTCGTGTCTTCAACAACACGGATTGTGCAGCATATGCACCCCTACCCTGCTGGATGCATCTTGGCTTTCAACCTCAAAGTATCTGCAAGAGGTTGAATAAGGGAAACAATCAATCCATGAGGATGTGGATGTACAATCTGCAGTGAACTATTTCTCCAATGGACTATGTATTTAATGTATTTCAAGAGTTGAGGTAAACATCGGGGAAACCCGCATTCCACTCCAAGCTTTTTGGGATTTCACCAGAGCATCCAAAAGGATCGTCAAATGGCACGGCCTGAACGGCCAAGATTGCAAAAAGCTGGTTCCAGAGATGAAAACTCCTTTAGAGTGTCACAAGTCAGATTCAAAGCCATTGGCTTGCTGACCTCTCGACCTGGGAAAATCAGCAGACTGTGGGAGATGCCACCACTATAGGACTCAACTTGACTACAAGGAAGCGAAACCTCCGCTCTGCTTTACTCTTGTGGCATATGAAAATAGAACAAATAAATACAAATAAGATATAATTTAATTAGACACGTTGACACTATACTTTCGAACCTTCCTTTGCTCCAACTCCGCTGTTTAAAAAAAGTGTACTGCAAAGTTGACCCACTACCTCCAGCTTTACGGCTCAGTCATCAGATGCGGATGCGTGAAAGAGTTCCAAAGAGTCCTTGGTTGTGAGTCAAAGGGTCTTTGTGGCACCTCCAATGGCAAAACAGGAAACACTGAAACTCTTTCTGTTCTTGCCAACCTCTTGTGAGATTACGCCGCATCTGGTGCCTTGCTTTTCAAGTCATCCCTTTTTCCAAAATGAATCCCTATTTGAAGGCATGAAATCAGGCTCGCTTCAGTATGGTGGTAGACAATACTGTGCGCTGGCGTGGAGACTCAGCAACAGTTACAACTCGTACCTATTCGTACCTGTCGTAACTTGTGGTGTAGAAAACTCTGCGCCTGAAAGAAGACCGCACACCAGGATCAATTGTTTCACGAACCTGAGGGCAAAAACATCATCCACAAAAAGAAGCAGGGTAATGCACGAAGTCATCATAAGATTTGGCAGGCATGAGGACCTAAATTCGAGCTCGATGAAGTCCGATTGTCAAGAATGAGAATTTCCGACAAATTGGCAATTGTAAAGTTCGTGATGAGGGATCAAATCGTCTTTGCACTACACTTCAGCTGCAGTTGCTGAGCCTGACAGTTGAGCTGCAGCCTGCTCAAGAAAAGAACATTGCTGAACATTGCTGAAGTCAGAACATCCCCAACCGTATTCACTTACGCCAAGCGCCAAAACACATTAGAAACTTAGAAACTGAGAGTCTGCCCACTGATTTTGGGTGTAATCCTAAATGTATTTTCAGTAGGATACCCCATTCCACCCTATGGTAGCAACCATCATTTTCCCCATCAGTTGATTGCCCGATTAATTATGATAGCCCCCATATCCCTATCCCCCCCATTTTTGGGCAAAGCCATATTGAATTGAAAAATCTGGACCAGTGCTGAAAAACCTCTGCCGATAAATGCTCCATTCCACATCTGCATCTGGGGAACGTCTCTTGGGTGAGCTTCACATTGCCAACAAAGAAGCCCGCGTTGCTATTCCTCTACATAGGATTTGTGGACTCTTGCCGTGTCTATGGCTGCAAATCCTGTCTCATCAACAGGGAAACAAAGTGTGGATTTCAGGCACCGGTTCACCAGGCTACAAGACTACGTACTCTACTCTCACTAGATACACAGGCATTGAACACAAGGATAGCGTGCGGGGGGGAGATTCCGAGATTGCACTGGAACCATCTCATTGCCTTCCTAATCTTCCTAGGGTTTCGGAAGAAGCACCAGAAGTTGCAAATGTCCCGCTCCAAACGTTGACTTTTTGCAGCTTAAGGGTCTGGATGAAGTTCACGAGGAACGACTTGTCCTGGCTCATCGTCTCCTTGCCGTGATTGAAATCGAGTGTGGTACACAGCTTGTTACTACAACATGAAGATCGCAAATCATAAAGATTCGTAAAGTATCGGTACACAAAAGGGTTGAAGTCGCAGCAACCTTTCGTCTCGCGCTGCTTGAAGATCAACAAGCATGATCAGTGACATGGATGCAAAGTCGTTGTCCCTGCCACTTGCTCCTTACAAACTACTGGCCCTGTGTACTCCGAATGCAGTTATATAATGTGCAGAGGTCCCACTCAGCATCGCAACAGTAACTGTGACATCTCAATTCTCCTGGCTTGAGATCTTGTTGACAAAGCTTGGAATCATGTTGCACTTTTCCGTCAAAGCTGCTGCAGTTCCAAAGAGCCACATGCTCAAACCTCAGAGAGGTTTAACGCAAAGATTGCTTCGAAGTTTGCAGGATTGTAACTTGCGAGTCAGTCCAGTTGATATTGCAAACCTACATCGACAAAATACAGTACGAACGAAGCAGTGCCACAATACACAGGAGCAGAGAAACAAACGGAAGGCCACCTCTTTACCCTTAGACCTCTGACAGGTTTCATCTGGACATGGCGGATTGCAGATCCGCTGTTTTGCTTAATCTATTCCGATGTGAAATACGATATGCCACGAAATGAGGACGTTTGATCCACGTCTGAGGGTCATGAATTTTATTGTGGCAATCAGGTCTGCAAAAGCACCAAGATGCCAATTTCTTTCAACTACTGTATCTGTCCAGAACGGACCGCCGGACTTTGATTCACTGCCCCCATTGCACTTTTGATGAATATGATAGGTGTCTGGTAGCATTTTACAACCATCTCACACAAGCACTGCATAAAATTGAAATTCCTAAAGTTGTGAAAGCAACGGGCAACAATCCCACATGTCAATTGCCTTCCTTTGGGGCTGTTGCTGTCGGTATGATCCATTCCCTCCATGCTGAGCTGCTGAAGAGGAAAAACAAAGGCAACGAAGCCAATCCTTGGACGCTCTCCCCACACCACAAGGTACCCCCATGGCCCCATGACTGTGCATGTGCAATCGTCTCCAGCAAATACGCTGTATCCAAACACGCCCTTTCTTCGAAGTGCCAGGCACCTTCAGCCACAGTGGGAACGACAAGAAGTTCATCCATCCGGAAGAGATATGTAATGCCTGAACCCCATTGGCGAAGCTTTGCATAGCTTCAGGCAATTGCAATTTCTGTACTGTTTCTGATTGCAACTGAATTTGACTGAACAATACAGAAAACACGTCGTGCAACACTGCAAGTCAGGCATGAAAGTTTACGTTTCACCAGAATCCAACTATCGAACTGGTACAGTACACCAGCATCGGTGAGTTCCTGCTTTAACCAGCAGTGTTTCAACCTCAAGAAGCATAGTCAGGAGAGACTCAAGAATCTGCCAGGTGGACAACATCATTTGTGCCAAGGTGCTATTGGCCAAAAGGTAGATAAGGCCAACCGATGAGAATGTCTGAGCACGGCAAGTTTGGATGGACCACGCGCCCAATTGGAAAACTATGAGGCCAATATGGAAAACTATGAGGTTGTTCCTTTCTCTGCATTGTCTCACTACGGGTCAGTGTTCGAATTGATTCCTACTCCATGTTGATCCACTTGTAAGAGGAACAGCTAGATCAAGATCTGTTCTAAATACAACTCCACCAGCGCGTGTTTGGACCCACTCGCTTGTAAGGATCCACCACTCAGGAATTCTGGGGATAAGTGGATAAATTTTGACTCCTTCCCTTGAAAACGTTTTCACAGCGATCTGACAAGAACGTTCCAATTTCCATTGTTCACACTTGTGTTCGCGTCGCATTTGTTCACCATCTCATATAATCTTGGCGCATGTATCAACACGAAGATCTTTCCCAGCTCGCGCGCCACAGACTTCCTCAGTGTTCATGAACACTCACCGAAAGACCTATGCCACTCCACTTGATGCCTAGGAAAACCAGGAAGAACCCGACCAAACAATGCCAACAAGGCCAAAAACAATGCAAAACCACCCTGATGTTGGGGTTTTCCACGCAATGTTTGTTTTGCATAAACACCACGTTGGACCGCGCTAAGAGACACACACACAGACACACATGCGCATTTATGATAATAAACCATGTGTGAAATCAGAAATATAAGGGTGTGAAATAGTTTTAGGATTTTTTTTTTGAGCAGGTTTGGGA